TACGCTTTTTTTGGCCCTAAAAATGTAAATTAATTGAAACGGCACATTCATTCTCAACACGATAAAATGTACCTATACTTTTATGAACAATTAAAAGTGCTTACAATAATAATTTACCTCAATAACTTTTTTACGTACACAGACCCATTGCCATTGTACCGTTAAGCCATCTAACTTAGGCGAAAAACTTTTAACGTGCTACATGTAAAGTTTGCACGCAATAACCCTACTCTTTATCATCCATATAATTATCTTTTTAAAAAAAATTGAATGATAAATGAAAAGAAAACGTCGATCATTACCTCAGATAAATGAAAATCAACTCAACGCGCGCGGGAAAAAATAAACCGTCACGCTCGCGCGCCAGAAATCGATTCTTTAAATCGATCATAGAAATCGAACGGTGTAGATTTCTATAGAATCTGCCTATTCCTCTTTAATCGATACCACAAACGCTCAACGCATATCGATTTTCGCCAGTCCTGCACGTGCTGGGTACAATATGCTATGAAGGTTCATTACCCGAAACGTCGCCGATTAAATATTATTCCCTTTTAAAGTCAGATTTAACAACGAACGCGTTGAGTTCGGTTTGGCTAATTATGTGTGCTTGTGCGACCCTGCCAACACAGCGCCACCAAAACACAATTCCTGCGGAGGGAGCTGGTAGGAACGTTGGCTTGCTCGGTCAATGGCCAGGGTCAACGGCGGCACCACGTGATGGTGTATTCAGCACAATATGCCCGACTGTGAGGGCGGGCACAAGCCGGCGTGAGTTGGTTAAACGTTGAGTTTTATAAGGGCACCACGGGGTGACCAGCCCCACCGCACCCACCCCACCCCACCTAGCCCCACCCAACCCCACCCCACCCAGCCCCATCCCACCCAACTCCACCCCACTCCACCCAACCCCACCCCACCCATCCCCACCCAACTCCACCCCACTCCACCCAACCCCACCCAGCCCCACCCCACCCAACCCCACCCAGCCCCTCCCCACCCAGCCCTACCCCACCCAACCCCACCCAGCCCCTCCCCACCCAGCCCCACCCCACCCAACCCCACCCCACCGAGCCCCACCCCACCCAGCCCCACCCCACCCAGCCCCTCCCCATCCAGAACCACCCCACCCAGCCCCACCCCACCCCTCCCCACCCAGCCCCTCCCCACCCAGCCCCACCCCACCCAACCCCACCCCACCGAGCCCCACCCCACCCAGCCCCACCCCACCCAGCCCCTCCCCATCCAGAACCACCCCACCCAGCCCCACCCCTCCCCACCCAGCCCCTCCCCACCCAGCCCCACCCCTCCCACCCAGCCCCTCCCCATCCCTCCGCACCCAGCCCCTCCCCACCCAGCCCCTCCCCACACTCCCCACCCTCCCCTCTCCACCCAGCCCCACCCCTCCCATTATGGATTCACGATGGACGGACGGACACAATAATCCCCTGTTGGCTGGTGGTGTAACCAGGAGGTTCCTACCAGTATAAAGTGCAGTTGTAGTGTAGTAGGCACCATAGAGACCTGATAGGCTCAGTGATGACCTCACCATTTTGACAATTCTGATCAATCGCCTGATGAAGCTGGTTGTCGTTGTTGTAATCACCAGCGAAACGCCACAGTACTCGGAATTTTAAATGTTTGGAGTGGGTTTTACTCTCCAACGCACAACCGGTGTGCTGAACTAGTAACGAATTGACACTTTGTTTACGTAACAACCCTTACTAATTATGGGGCCGTCCATAAATGACGTCACGCACCTGGTTGGGGGGGTCAGACATTTGTGACGATGTGTGACAAGGGGCGGGGGAGGTTTGAGAAATATGACGTCACATCAAAATGCGCAACTTTAACTAAATATAAACACGTTCTACTTAATTAAATAGAGCTTTGTGAGGTCATATTTGAGGGGAGGTTCTGATTTTTTTGTGACTCCGTGTGATGAAGAGGGGGGGGGGGGTCAAAAATCGTCAAAAATCGCGTGACGTCATTTGTGGATGGCCCCTTAGCTGTGTCGGGTGGTGGCGGGTTTAACGACACATTTACTCAATCTAACCCAAAAAGCGTTATCATAGACCTGGAAATTTCGAATTTCGGATTTTTTTTTCGAACAAATTAACAGATAAGGTTTTGTTTTTCTCTCTTTGGGATTTTAGAATAATTGTACGTGATGCGTTAATTGTACGTATCTTTGTGCTGAAAAAAAGTAATGTCACGTGACACACGACGATTGGTAAGTAAATTAATTTGTTTAATTAATTGGTTTAATTGACGTATCCTCCAAGCCCTACCGCTGGTTTAAATAAGCATATTCTGGTCTTGGAACCGGCGAATAAAATAAAGTTTCCATCGAATTGATTTGTATAAACTGGATTTCCTTTCAATAAACAACACTTATTTTCAGGAGAAAATTCACACTGGAAGCACCCAGTGTGTGTACGTCCGAGTTGACACACGCTCCAAACCTGAGCCACGTTACAACCAAACGCGACTTTTTCCAAACCGATTCACCCCCCGCAACAGAATTGAGTCTAAATTTCGATTTAAAGCTTTCGTGACTGCAAGGATTCATTTTCTTTGGTTCTTTCGGTAAAGTCACGTAGAATGAGAATAAAATAATAAATTGATAAAATCATTCACCTGATGAAGGCCGCTTGTGTTGTGGCCGAAATGTCGTGAGAATATTATTGTGTTATTTTATTTTATCAATTTATTATTTTATTCTCATTCTACGTGACTTTACCGAAATAACCAAAGAATTGAGCCTGTACATGAAGAGTCTTTTTTACCGGAATCTTTATTTATCCTGAGAAAAATATATATACACATCTTTAGCCAGCAAGATTGAGCAGCGGTCTCTCAGAGACGCTCACAGATGCCGCCAGCGTCAACTCACTCGAACTTTTGGGACGCACTCTCTCACACCACAATACCTCGAGACTGTTACAGCTCACGTGGTTGTTATTGTTTGACTTGCATCCCACTGGGATTTTTGCACACAGCATTGATATTCGGTGCTTTTTCTGGAAGACTTTGCTGGGTTTTTTTCCTGAATTTTTTCTGTTGCGCATAGTCACTTTAAGACGTTTTCTTGTTCATGTTTTTTGTTTGTTGCGGTTGCACCCGATTCAAGAGCCGAATGGCTCACAGGGCTATACCAAATACATTAACTGAAAAAAGTACATTTTACACAAACTGGTGGTGCCCGCCATCCAATTGCGCCACGGTGGCTAGGAGATGTTAACGCCCTCGCCTGGTCTGCAGGAGGTCGTGGGTTCGATCCAGACCCGACGCCTGCTGCTGTATATTTGGAGATTGCGTGTCCCTCTCTACATGCGCTCGCGTGTGGATTTTTATCCGGGTCCTCTGGTTTTTTCCCCTCCACATTTACAAATCGACATCGCGCGTTCAGACTATTTGGCTGCCACAAATTTCCACGTGATAAGCCACGTCGTTGAGCTATCATTTGTGACCAGGTTGCTTCTTAAAAAAGAGCTATATAGCTCAGTGAGCGTTACCTGGTAAAATAAAATAAAAACTTTTAGTTTCATTGTGTATATCTATGAGTTATATACACGGTGCATTAGAACTGTATAAGTTCCATATTTACACGTCATTGTATTTTCTACCTGCGTGGAACTTGCCACCGTAGACACGCAAAGCGAGAAATTCCATCTCAAGGTCCGGTTCGTTTTTTTTTACAGGCGAAATATCCGAACGATTAAAGATTACAAAGAATACTCTCAAATCCTTTCCCGTAAATCACTTCCATGTGCTTGCACGCGAGCTACACTTGTGCACCACTAACATTGCGTGACAAGTATCATAATTTTCATCTTATCTTACACCGGAGGAATCCAATGAGCCAAAAAGCAATTCTTTTTCACAGATATCCAGCATCCACACGGTGGCCTGAGTGCAGTAGCGAAAGGGGTGCACATGCAGGATATTGAAGGGCCACAGCATGTGGCTTGCCCCCCCCACACCACTCACCCACAACGTTCCAAGAATTACAAAGGAATATTACCCTCCGAACCCTCTACGCTTTGACACACATTCCGTAAAGAAGGCCGCAACTGTTGCTTATCCCTTGCAATTAAACGTTGAATGTGTCGTGACACAATTAACGTTGGAAATGCATACCTGTCAACCCCTAATCACTGCCTACCTCATTACAGACCAATTCTATACCTTATTGGTCACCCCGTGCCCCTTATAAATCTCAACGTTCATCCTACAAAGTTCCATCGCAAGGGAGAAACACAAATTGATTTATTATTGCCTGTATTGAAACGTCAGTACGCAGTATGTACCTGAACACTCAATTTCCTTGTACAAGAATACGGGGTAAATCGTATGGGTTGACAGGGAGACATTAAGGTTTAAACAAAAGTGACCTTATGTTCATTACAAACAGCACCCGTCTTCCCACCACATTTTCAATCAAAGTAACGTTGGTTCCAATGTGGTGGTAGTGAGGTTAAAGACTGTGTTGCCTGGGCCATTGTGAGCATTCTATAAATTTCAACCTACAATCTCCTTGCGATCCACCAAACCCCTTAATTTGTATCTACTGTACATATGTAATACGAGGACTCACCGACGGTCGCCGATCGGTAAGATAGGCTCCGCCCCTTCAGCCATCAGCCAATTAGATGGATGCGCCAAGTTCAAGGGCGGAGCTCAAGGGCTCTTGTGGGTAACCATCCAGAAGGTTCGTGAGGGGGGCGTGGCTATAGGCGGGGCTTAGTGACGCAGGTGAAGGGATATAAGGGGGAGGCAGGAAGAAGCTCGGGGTCAGTGTGTGGAGTCTAGAGGTGAGACAATGTCTCGCGCTTCCAGCACGCTGTCTGCCAGCGGCGCGCGGGAGCAGGGGGGGGGGGGGGGGTAGCGTGAGCGAGCTGTGCGCGGAACGAGAGTGGAGCGGTGTCGGTGTGAAGAGAACGCGGAGCTGTCCGGCCGACGGGGAATAAATAATAAAGAAGACACAAACTACAAAACGTCGTCAAAGTGCTTTATTACACATATATAGGCAATTACAATCTTCGGTCATTTTCAGTGCACTGCCGCCTCCAATGTTGTTCCTATCCTAGTCTGCATCTTCATAGAGATGCGTTAACTTCGTTTCATCATCGTCGCTATTTTTGGTCTGTAGTGGGCAGTCGTAGCCATCGTAACGCTTGATGATTTCCATCAAAACTCAAAGGAGTCATCATCGTTGACTAAAAGCAAGGAAACACTTTGGCGTCGGATAGTTTCGTCACTCATTCCGTTCACCAAGTTTGACGCTGCTCTGCCGGGGCACAGGGTCAGAGTTCGGGGCACACAAGGTCAGAGGTCAGGGCCGGTCAGCCCGAGATCTTCTTGAGAGCCGCACGCAGCGTCCGCTTCATAAAGGTGTCGCCGACCTCCACCATCGCGGCGAGGGTCGCGCCGTGACCCCGTGTCACCTGCCACGGGTTGCAGAATGTTAATGCACGCACACACACAGACAAAGATCCCACGTATAGCCTGAGCAGATCATTGGGGCAAGTACTGTTAGCTAGGAGAACCTGTGAGGGCCGGCACGGTATGAATGTTATGTATGTTGTACTTCTTTCACACCGTACGTAGCCAACCGTGCTAATCGGAGGTGCGGGGAAAGGACAACAAACTCAACACAAAAAGTGGTTCTAAAGAAATGAGTTTTCAGTCTCGATTTAAAAGTGCATTGCCGTAGTGTAGGGTCGTATTGGTATGAGTAGTGGCTGCATCGATAGCATTGTCCGTATTTTGTCGTAGCGGTGGCGGTAATAATGGCTGAACTCACCTGAGCCCCATGCTTGTTCACCAGCGCCAGCAGGAGCTTGGCGAACTTGAGGGACTTGGCGAACGACGCTGCATGTGCCGACATCGCCACCACCAGCATCTCCACCTCCTCTGCGTTCAGCTCCATCTTTAAGGGGAGGCAACACAACACACCATTTTGCGTCCTGGGCACCACAGTGGCTATGAGATGTCAACTCCCTCGCCTTGTATACAGGAGGTCGTGGGTTCGATTCCGAGCCTGACAAGGCCTCTTGTAATATTTGTAGTTTGCATGTCTCTCTCTCCCCGTGGTTGCGTGGATTCTTCTGTGTCCTCCGGTGGCTAGGAGATGTTAACTACCTCGCCTGGTCTACAGGAGGTGGTGGGTTCGATCCCAACCCTGACAATGCCTTTTGTAATATTTGGAGTTTGCGTGTTCTTCCCATGGTTGCGTTGATTCTTCTCCAGGTCCTCTGGTGGCTAGGAGATGTTAACTACCTCGCCTGGTATACAGGAGGTCCTGGGTTCGATCCCGACCCTGACGATGCATTTTGTAATATTTGGAGTTTGCGTGTTCTCCCCGTGGTTGCGTGGATTCTTCTCCGGGTCCTCCGGTTTTCCACCCCCACATTTAGAATCAACGTGAGGCGTTTAGAGTATTTGGCTGCTATAAATTTACACACAATAAGCCACTTCGTTGAGCTATCTTTTGTGATTGCCAGGTCGCTTCTGAAAAAGAGCAATTTAGTTCAAGTGGGTCTTACCAGGTAAAATAATAACAAAAATAGTTTTAGTTTAGAGGTGAACTGGGTGCCACAAGAGGTCAACAGCCCCAAATGACCTCTGGGTTCAGATCCAGGTTTCAGCTGAACTCTGATTAAACCAAGCTCTCAGGTCAATCTTGGACATTTTCGCAACCTCTGATTAGCACAGTTGGCTACATGCGGTGCGAAATAAGTTCAAAGACAAAGATCCCCTGTATAGCCTAAACAGACTGTTGGTGAGCACCTATGAAGGCCGGCACGGCACACGAGGGGGTGGGTGGCCAGCACCACGTCCGACTGCCTTTGTCTCCCTAGTGGTGATGTTTAACACACTGCACCAGGTACCCATTTGAGGCTGAGTCGACCTAGGGGAGGCGCAGGACCGGTTCAGATAATCGTCACGGGTCGCCGGGTTCGCCGCGCAGCGCGCTAACCTCTACACCGCCTTTCCCCTTGCGTGCGGCACGAAATAAGTTCAACACGCGCACAAATGAGACTCATCCTGGATGTCTCTTAGGTTTGCACCAGGTCAAGCAACAAAAGTGAAGGATGTCACAAGCTAAGCAGCGATGAGCCAGGATAGCCCTCGGTTGAGCGACAAACACCACCACGGATAAAATACGTGCTAAGGCTGCCAGGGGCCTACTCCGTTGTGGGCAGCAGAGGGCAGCGTTGCAACGTCAATTGTCGCTTCCACGTCGATGGCTGCCCGAACCCCCGGCTTCACACCGAGACGCAAGGAAGCAATGTGAAGAACCCCTTCCGCTCAAACACGCACTGACCAGCGTGGCAAAGTGTGGTGAAACAACGTCCTTGAACCCCGCACGGGGTGAGCAGCAACCTCATCCAACAGCGGATTGACGAATGGCCGTAAGGGTTCATGATGATGACGATGTTTGATGGTGGTGGTGGGTGGTGATGAGGCGTTTCGATTTTTGAAAGACGTGGCGATGGAGAGGAAGCGTTTCTTGCCCCACAGCTCACCTTTCGGTCCAGTGTGGCCTGCAAGACGGTGAGCAAGCCCTCACCCCAGCACACGCCCGGGCTGCTCACCAACAGCCTGCACTCCAGCAAGCACACGAATCACAACGTGACACAGACTGCAGGGGCAAACGCCAGCGATGCACCCTATGGAGGGGGTGGTGGTGTGGACAGAAACACCACGCCCGGCCGTCTTTCTCTCCGCAGTGCCGATGTTTTGTAAACGCTGCAACCAGGTGCTCACTTGAGGTCCAGGACCAATTCAGGCCAGATGAACGTCACTGTTATTGGTCGTGAGCGGGAATGGAACGTGGGTCGCCGGTTTGTAGCGCAGCGCGCTAATTACGCTGCTACTCACTCACAACACAAACAAAAGCAAAAGCCCCCCCCATATAGCCTTGAACAGACTCTTGGGGCAAGTGCTGTTACCGAGTAGCACTTATGAAGACCGGCACAGCGCACCGGTGGCGATGATTGCACACCGCACCTGGTGCTCATTCGAGGCCCGTGTCGACCTAGGGGAGGCCCAGGACCGGTTCACACGAACGCCACCGCTATTGACCGTGAGCGGGAATCGAACTCGGGTCGGCGGGTTCCTTAACGCGACGCACCGACCATCGCACTCCACCGCCCTCCGCACGCAACACGCCCACGGGTGCTCGTACGCAGAATCGACGAATGTGCGGGTGGCAGAGGATGAGGCTCTGCAGCGGCGAACGGTCGCTCTTGCTCCGCTGACCTGAGGAGACTGGGGAGATCGTCGGAGGCCAGGTTGTCACGGATGACCCTGCACATGAACTCCACTTGGAAAGGCCCTGCCGAGACGAACACATGCGGTTAACGGCGACGGCATCGCAGCTAAAGGGAAGTGCGCCAGGGCATCCCAGCCACTGTGAACCATCTGATACACAATGCTCGCTGCACTCGAGCAAGGGTGGGGAACCTTTTTTCCTGCCAAGGGCCAGTTGGATATTTATAACATCATTCGCGGGCCATACAAAATTATCAACTTAAAAATGAGCCCGTTATATTTGGTCAAACATTTCATTAACTCGCCCCTAATGCGATGGGCTGGAACTGCTTCTCTTTGGCGAGGCGTGGTGATGATGCTAGCTGGTATTTGACGATGTTGTTGCTACTCGCAACTGCTTTTCCAGGTTTGCTCCTAGATTTGTTGAATTTCGAGTCCCGTCTGCAGTTGCCTTGGCAGGGCCACACCAAATGGTTTCGCGGGCCCTATACGGCCCACGGGCCGGACGTTCCCCACCCCTGCACTAGAGCAAGGGGGTTTATAGTCCATTAGGCCGGAGCATACATTGGTACCACCCTCAGGCAAGTCCTCGTTTTAACACGCGAGTAGTGGACGCGTTCCCGAAGAGTGACGCGCAAAGTTGTAAAAAGCGTTCAGCTAAAACTACCTCCCCATAAATAACGTAGGGGTGAAGTCTGGCGAGAAACGATGTACGCACACAATGAGAAAAAAACGACCGAGGGTACGCCGCCGCGTTACTGTATCATGCGCGTACTGTATCACTCCGCCAAGCTGAAGAAAGTAGTTTGTCGCTGCCCGCTCAGAAACCGTGTTCTAACGGTGCGCGTTCCGCGTTCTAACGGTGCACGTTCGACGTTCTAACGGTGCACGTTCGGCGTTATAACGGTGAGCGTTCGGCGTTATAACGGTGCACGTTCGGCGTTATAACGGTGAGCGTTCCACATTATAACGGTGCACGTTCCACATTATAACGGTGCACGTTCCACGTTATAACGGTGAGCGTTCCACATTATAACGGTGCACGTTCCACGTTATAACGATGCACGTTCGGCGTTATAACGGTGCGCGTTCCACGTTATAACGGTGAGCGTTCCACATTATAACGGTGCACGTTCCACGTTATAACGATGCACGTTCGGCGTTATAACGGTGAGAGTTCGGCGTTATAACGGTGCACGTTCCGTGTTCTAACGGTGCACGTTCGGCGTTATAACGGTGCACGTTCGGCGTTATAACGGTGCGCGTTCCGCGTTTTGCGAGAAGTGTTCCCGAATGGAAGAACCTCGTTATAAGTCGTGTGACTTTACCATCGTATGTTAATGTTGAGTTCAGTCGTGCGGATAAACTTTATCGGTCAGATTTGGATTAATACAACGGCGGCGCATGAATAATTATCTTTGTGGCCTACCCCCACATCTCCGATTAGCACGGTTGGCTATGTACGGTGTGAAAGAACTTCAACGTACATACATAGACTCACACAGAGGCCCATAGACTCACACAGAGACCCATAGACTCACACAGAGTCCCATAGACTCACACAGAGATCCGTAGACTCACAGAGAGACCCATAGACTCACACAGAGACCCATAGACTCACACAGAGGCCCATAGACTCACACAGAGACCCATAGACTCACACAGAGTCCCATAGACTCACACAGAGATCCGTAGACTCACAAAGAGACTAATAGACTCACACAGAGACTAATAGACTCACACAGAGACTAATAGACTCACACAGAGACCCATAGACTCGCACAAAGATCTTTGTTATCCTTCCCCCGCACCTCCGATTAGCATGTTTGGCTATGTACGGAAAGGAAGAATTTCAACGTACACACACGCGTACGTACCCAGCTCGCCCGTCTGCGTCAGCGGCAGCAGGCACGCTGCACAGCCCTGCTTGGGGTAGGAGCTGCAAAACGATCCCAGGGCCCCCGACAGCAGCCTCGACGCCGGCTGTTCCAGGCTGGACAGCTGCACGGGTGCACGCGGCACAGGCAACATCAAATTAACTCACGAACGAAAAAAAAAACAGGGCATTACCCTTTCCAGCAAGAGTACAGGTGTCGACCCTCTCCCGTTCCGAGACGCGTGCAACGTTGCAAGGGTGTGGGTCCCGTTCGCCGCTGAATCTCGGGAGCGCGCGTCGAGCGGCTCAGCGTTGAGTTAGAGGAGGCGCAGTAGCGCCTCCCTCGAGGAAGGCCCCTGCAGCGGCAGACCCACCGGACGTCCGACTTTGGCGGGCGGACACGACGGGAAGGAGAAGACCCCGGAGAGGTCCGTAGCGAAGGTTTTTTTTTTTCTTAGGTAGATCGCGTGAATATAAAATGCGTCGTTAAGCCACGGCACCGCCCCACCTTGGAGAGGAAGAGCTCCCGGGCGAGATGCGTGGAGGCCGCGTGTCCGATCTTGGGGGTGAGAGCAGCCACGGCCGTCGCCAGGAGGGCGACGCTTTCCTCCGGCAACGTCGCGGCTCCCAGCACCGAGCACACGGCAGAGACCTGCGCAACGCAGATACCACAGCCGCCGGCACAGCACTGGTCGTGAACTCCGCATCGTCACCCTGGTGTGACGTTGCTTTTAAAGCTTTCACAAGAACCTTTTGAGGTGGTCATGTGTGTGTGTCTCCTTCCACCTATCTATCCTTCAGTAACGGGTGGGAGGTTGGGTTCCTTAACTCCCCATAAGGATGATGCGAAATTAATGAAACTTTGGTGGTAGGTTGTGTTGCTTTTAAGGACTCATCCTATTTAACATCGGCCAAATTTTACGAAAGGGTTGCCCAAAAAAACGTGGAGACACAAACCAGGGCACCACACAGGACAATTTTCTAAAATGCATATACGCATTTTGCCCCGGCAGCTACCCGGTCCGATGCCGTACGGCTAATTAAATACTTCCGAGGGCAAACGCACGCTGGAACGCGTTACACAGGAACCACGCATACGCGTGACTAGTCAAGATCGCTCGTTAACTTTCACCTCCTCCGTGTTCATTCTGCTGACCTGCTCTGGCCGGCACTCATTCAGCAAGGAGATCTCAGCAGGACTCGTTTCCTCCATGCCTGGAAGCTGCCAAATAAACGAAATGCATGTAAATCATTGCAGCATTAAACTTAGCACTAACAACCCTGACGTTCACCTTAACACTACGCCCAACAAGATCACGCTTGATCCTAGGCACAACTAAACCCAATCCCAGTCCTAACTCTAATCCTCGACCTACCAAGACCCTCGCCATAACTATATCTCTAGACCAGGGGTCGGGAACCTTTTTGACTAAGAGAGCCATGAAAGCAAAAAATTTGGAAATTTATTTCAGTGAGAGCCATATAATATATTTTAAAAGTGAATTCAACTAAATGTCAGTATAATAAGCCTCTGAATTTATTCTTTTAAATAATGTTGTTATAACACTCACCATTAATGCGACTTCTGGTGCTGCATGGATTTGCTGATGTCTTTGTAGTCGGGTTGGTACTTGGTGAGGTTAAGCTTCATGCAAGCGTTGAGGCTTTCATCCGTTAAACGTGATCGTAGGTTGGACTTGATGTTTTTAAGATGTGAGAATGACTGCTCACATGCATACGTAGATCCAAACATGGTCAATACAGCAATACTCACACGCTGCAGTGTGTGGTATGTGACAGGAAGCGCGTTCCAAGTTTTGAGAATCAGCTGGTCTTCGGGTTGGAGTTTTTTCATTTCTGTCCACATGTGCTTGCTCGCCAACTCCGCTTTCTGTCGTGTGATTCTTTCCAAATCTTCATTCAGTGACTTGAACTTATTCACCCACATGTCTGAGGCCTTCAGGTCAGCCACTTCTGCTTTAAAATCTCTGACGGAGACACCAGGGATGTAATTCAGGTCGGCTGTGTTCAGTGAACACTCGTTTGGATGGGTGATGAACTTAAAAAGACGAGTGTGCTCACGAAATTCTCCAAAGCGTGCTTTGAAGGACTGTAGGAGACTGGATGTGCAGCCAGCTAGCTGGTGGAGATCAAGGTTTTGAATGGGCTCACTTGCTGTGCATGCATCTTTAAATTGGCTCAGTTTTTCAAAATGTAGTAAACGACCTGTTTCAAGATCCGTGATGAAAAGCTCCAGCTTGTTTTCAAAAGCAAATACAGCTTGTTGAAGGGATAACACTGTATTTCCAATGCCTTGCATTTTCACGTTGAGCTGGTTCAGATGTTCAGTCAGATCTACGAGATAGTAAAACTTGAGGAGCCACTCGGTGTCGGCTAGCTCAGGATGCCCGACGCCTTTCATTTCAAGGAAAGTCCGGATTTCGTTCAGGCAAGCCGCAAAACGGCTAAGCACCTTCCCTCTTGACAACCAACGCACATTGCTGTGCAAAAGCAGACCAGGATAGTTATTTACAACTTCATCCAGCAGTGTTTTAAACTGGCGATCATTTAAGGCTCGGGCAACAATAAAGTTGATCACACGAATGACCAGCGACATCACTTCGCCAAACTGCCTGTCACACATCTGAGCACAAAGTGCCTCCTGGTGTATAATGCAATGGAAACTTAGGATGGGTCTATTTTCATGTTCACGGAGAAGCGCCACAAATCCTTTGTTTTTCCCCACCATACACGGAGCACCATCAGTACACACTGAGAGAAGTTTATCCATAGGTAGACTTTTTTCTTGAGCAAACTCCATGAAAGACTTGAATAAATCCTCACCTCTTGTGGACCCTTTTAATGGCAGAACAGCAAGACTTTCTTCGCGCAGTGTGTCACCAACAGCATATCTTGCAATCACGCTGAACTGCGACAAATGGCTCACGTCTGTTGACTCATCCAAAGCCAGAGAAAAGAACGGCGCTGCATTTATGTCCTTCACTTGCGTTTCCTCCACTTTGTTTGCCATCACGATGGTACGATCATGAACAGTTCTTGCCGACAGAGGCATGTCTTGTATCCGTTTGATTATCTTGTCTTTGTTCGGAAGATCATCAAAAAGTTCATTGGCTACATCCAGCATGAATGTTTTAGCATACTCGCCATCTGTGAATGGTTTTCCGTTCCTCACTATTGCTAAAGAACCAGCAAAGCTAGCCGAATTATAGTCACCTTGCCGGGTCCATACGCGGAGTTGCTGCTGGCTAGCTTGCACCCTGCTCAGAAGCTCTTGGCACGCTTTCTTTCTGCTGTCTCCCGCAGGGTATTTTGATGCAAAGGTAGCGTGGCGCGTGTCGAAGTGCTGCTTTACATTCGACCGTTTCAACGATGTAATTTTGTCATTGCAAATTAGACACACCGCAGAACCCGCTCTCTCCACAAAGGCGAATTCTTCGGTCCATTCGTCCTGAAATGTACGATGCTCGTCGTCTTTTTTTCTTTTCGCCATCTTCTTCGTCGAAGGGTTAGCTTTGAGCTAATGACCGAGCAGACGCAGTCTCAGACTGATTCAAAAGGGGGCGTTTACCTGTTTTACCCAGCAACGGCAAACGTAGGCCAGTATCATCCAATTAAAATAATGGACAATTGCTCCTGCAGCCCTGAACAGGACATGCGCAGTGAAAAATCGATGGATGGATTAAAACAAGTGAGAATATTTTGTTTTATCTGCGAGCCATATGCAATCATCAAAAGAGCCACATCTGGCTCGCGAGCCATAGGTTCCCGACCCCTGCTCTAGACCTTATCAATAACCTAACAAGATTGACATTCACAGTAATCCTATACTTAACAAGCCTAATCCTAAGCTAACAAGATTAACCATAACAAGCCTGATGTTAATCCCATACCTACGTAGCCTTCCCCTAATCGACCTCAACTCTAGACCTAACAAGCCCAACATTGACACCAAACCTAACAAGCCCGATCATCACCATAAAATGTTTAACTCTAACCTTAACCCAGCAAACCTTAACCCCATCTCAACTCTAACAAACCCAATTATATTTCGATTCAAAGCTTTCGTGACTGCAAGGATTCATCTTCTTTGGTTCTTTCGGTAAAGTCACGTAGAATGAGAATAAAATAATAAATTGATAAAATAAAATAACACAATAAAATTCTCACGACGTTTCAGCCACAACACAAGCGGCCTTCATCAGATGAAGGGACGAGACTGTCTGGAGGACAGCGCTGGAGCGAAAAAGCCACGCTCAGATTGCGACCTTTAAGCTGTGTGAGAAGAAACAAAGCGCCTTGACAAAGCCATTTCTGTGACCAGTCACAAGCTAATCACTCAGCTATTTCAATGTTAAATTCAATGCTAATTCCTTTGTCAAGGCGCTTTGTTTCTTCTCACACAGCTTAAAGGTCACGATCTGAGCGTGGCTTTTCGCTCCAGCGCTGTCCTCCAGACAGTCTCGTCCCTTCACCTGATGAAGGCCGCTTGTGTTGTGGCCGAAACGTCGTGAGAATTTTATTGTGTTATTTTATTTTATCAATTTATTATTTTATTCTCATTCTACGTGACTTTACCGAAAGAACCAAAGAAGATAAACCCAATTATAGTCCTTATCATGCCATGCATCATAAACAGACTATTATTATTTAATGATATAATATTTAAGCTCACACAAACCTCACAACTTGCTTCCAGCCACTCCTTCACTTTAGCAACCTTTTCCTGAAAAAAACAACAATTTTTTTTTTTTAAATCAGCAAATAGCAATAATTCATTTAAAAGCCCTTTGCCAACCCACTGTTAAGACTGACGGCCTGCCGCATGCCATACCAGGCATGATGGGTTTGTTTGGCCATTCTTCACCACGCTGGTCAGTGTGGGCTGGTACATGGTGTGCCCCGGACTGATCCAAATATCACTAGCCACTGATGTTAGCTGTGCCCGAAAAACTTTAAATTCAGGTCGTGGGTTCGTAGCGCAGCGCCTCAACCACCTAATGCCGAGATTTGCCGCGATAGCATTTTTCACCAAGCGCACGGCATCAAAACTTGCTTTTCTGTGTTTAGTTTGTTGTCCTTCCCCCGTACCTCCGATAAGCGCTTTTGGCTACGTAGGGTGCGAAAGAAGTTTAACGTACATACATAGACTCACGCAGAGACCCATAGACTCACACAGACCCATAGACTCTCACATAGACCCATGGACTCACACAGACCCATGGACTCTCACATAGACCCATAGACTCGCATAGAGACCCACAGACTCGCAGAGACCCATAGACTCACACAGAGACACATAGCCTCACACAGAGACCCATAGACTCACACAGAGACCCATAAACTCCCACAGACCCATCGTTTGAGGTATTTTTCCTGCACCTCCGATTAGCACGGGTGGCTACGCATGGTACAAAAGAAGTTCAACAACATTCATACAGTTTCCCATAACTTTGTATTCCTGTACTTCCAGGAGACATGAAGATTCACTCGAAAGTTCTTAAACTGCAGTTCACTCAAACACAAGCATGCCCTCTCTCTAATCCCTCCAAACCTATAACCGTGATAACGCACGCGCGTAATTATCGACTTTCACTCCTCATTTTCACGTGCGATTGCCAATAAGGCTTGAAAAAAGTACACACGAAATTCACAACCCGAGTGATGACCTTGATGTGCGGCGGAAGGCCCTGCTCCTGCTCGGCTTTCTGTAACGGCAACTCGTCCAAAATGTCGGCGCCGCCGCCATCGCCGCCTCCACCATCGCTGGACTCCCGAGGGCCCGGCACGGGCGTCCCGGGATCTCCCCCCAGCGCTGCCCGCCCGGACGCGCTCAAATCGCCCGCGTGCCGGGGGGAGTCGAGGCGTGGCCGTTTGTGGGCGACGGCCGCGTTTCCGCTCTCGACGCCGCCGCCGCCGCCGTCGCCGCCGCCGTCGTCGCCGCCGTCATCGTCGGGCACCGGGCGCTTCCGTGTGCCAGACGGGTCACAGGTCACCCCGACGGTGCCTTCGTCGTCCGAGCCGCGCCTGAAGAGAACGACGTGGCGCAGCAGTCGTTCGTTTCAGTCAGCGGTTTTTTTGTTATATTTTAGGTCATGATGGGTCGCGGGCGGTGCCATGGGGCCCAGCGGTAGCGCAGAGGCCGTTTGTTGCAGAGGTTCGCGGCTCGAATCCTTGCAATATTAGGAAGCCACTGGAGCTACGCAACTTTTAGATCATCTAGTTTGAAAACGAATTTCTTTAAAACTGCTTTTTGTGTTTAGTTTGTTGTCCATATTCTTTGGTTCTTTCGGTAAAGTCACGTAGTTAGAAATAAAATAAAAACAAATCACGACGTTTCGATTGCAACACAAGCAATCATCATCAAGGTGGGAAAACCACAGCAAGAACATTTATCAGCAAAAAATTTTTTGCTGTGGTTTTCCCACCTGATGATGATTGCTTGTGTTGCAATCGAAACGTCGTGATTTGTTTTTATTTTATTTCTACCTACGTGACTTTACCGAAAGAACCAAAGAGTACGGATTCCTGCAGTCACAAAAGCTTAAAATCAAGATTAGTTTGTTGTCCTTCCCCCACACCTCAGATTAGCACGGTTGGCTACGTACGATGGGGAAAAAAGTTCAACATACACACATACCTGTCAACCCATACCAGTTTACCCGTATTCTTGTACAGGGAAATTTAGTTTTCAAGCCCATACGGTGTACTGCCGTTTCAATACGGGCAAACCTTTTTTTGTCTATTCGTTTGTGTTACTCCCTTGTGATTGGACTTTATCGGATGAACGTGAACATTTATAAGGCCACGGGGTGACCAATGAGGTCTGAATTGGTCTGTAATAAGGTAGGCACTGACAAGGGGTTAACAGGTATGCATACGTACACACTTCCCGGTAAGCATGTGCATTCAGGCTCATCGGCAGTCGATCGCACTTACACTCACCCGGGAACCACCGGTGTCTCCGGCTCCTCACGCTCTGCCAGCCGAGCCGTGCCCACGTGTTCCGCGGTGTCCCCGCGGTGCCCACCGTCGCCCTGGCAGCGCGAGCGTGCCCGCAGGCTCTCGCAGAGGGCAGCGTAGCGGGCACGCCACACCTCGCTCACCGCTCCACCACCTTCGGAGGGAGACGAGACAAACGCACGAGACGGGATTTCGGGTCGCGCTTACCGGGCGTCACTGGGCTCGGTGTCCCGACGTTCCGCTCCGCACGCCGCGATTCAATTCCGCGTAGATCACGGGGGTGGTACACAACTCGAGAGAGACATAGGAGAGAAGATTCTAAGTGAATTCTCAACTGGGTAAAGGACTCCAATCGCAAGGGAATAACATAATCTCAGTGGGCTCTAGCCTGGTTACGTTCAAGGCAAATGGCTGTAAATAATTATTGGCGACTAGACTCTCGACACTCAAGAGGTTTCATCACGGGCGACTGAAACCCGGATTCGAAAAGCCAGGGTTCTTGGCAGTGCCGGCTCAGCGTCTCCGATACGGTGCGACAACAATTCTAACAATAAGTAATTTTCAATTTGTAACGCGCACAGCATTCACTCGCTCTCTCGAAGGGAGAGAACGACTCAGAGGCGCGAGGAGGAACCACAGACAAGCAGGAGGGCCCGGCGGGCACGGGCGCAGCGGGCACCGACGGGGGCACAGCGGGCACCTGTGCAGCAGTGAGCTGGCGCCAACAATTGCCCAAATGCTGCGGTTCTTCCCCAAGCCGCGTGGCCACCTCAAACAAATTCACGTTAAGTTCACCCAAGGGGTCGTGGAGGGGGTCACTTGCCATCATCCACGCGCTGGCTCGGCGGCTCCATCGTCCGTGCGGCGACGCGGACCCAGGGGTCGCAGGGCGCGGCGGGGCGCAGCAGGGCGCGGCGCAGCAGGGCGAGCGCTGGTGCAGGCACTTCGTCTCGGACGGTGCTCAGCAGCGACACGACGGAGCGCTGGAGGCTCACGGGAAGCCGCAGCAGCGCGGGCAGCCTGCCAGACGCAGGGGGCGAAGTCAGGGGTCACAGGGGTCACAGGGGTCACAGGCCACGGCGGACAAACCAGTGCGTCGTAGCCCTCGTCCACCGGCAACAACCGAGCCGAGCCAGCGACTGGCGCTCGCGTCATAGCGGGTGCTATCATAGCGGGTGCTATCATAGCGGGTCGAGCGCGTGACGGACTACTCGGGGGGGTGTTGGGGGGCTGTTTTTTCATGGATTTTTCTGTTTGCGCATAGTCACTTTAAGATGTTTCTTGTTCGTGTTTTTGTTTTTTTGTTTGTTGCGGTTGCACCCGATTCAAGAGCCGAATGGCTCACAGGGCTATACCAAATAAATGAAATTAAATGAAAAATGGGTGGTAGGGCGGTGTGGCGGGGTAGAGGGGTGTGGGGGGCTAGGGGGGTGTGGGGTATGGGGGGAGGCTAGGGGGTGTGGGGGTAGGGGGTTGTGGGGGGGGGGGCTGGGGGGTGGTAGGGCGGTGTGGGGGGATAGAGAGGTGTGTGGGGGGGCTAGGGGGGTGGTAGGGCGGTGTGGGGGGGGGGGGTAGAGGGGTGTGGGGGGGCTAGGGGGGTGTGGGGGGCTAGGGGGGTGGTAGGGCGGTGTGGGGGGGTGTGGGGGGTGTGTGGGGTATGGGGGGAGGCTGGGGGGGTGTTGGGGGGCTAGGGGGGTGTGGGGGGGCTAGGAGGGTAGAGGGGTGTGTGGGGGGGCTAGAGGGGTGTGGGGCTAGGGGGGGGGGGAGGCTAGGGGTGTGTGGGGGGGCGACTTGCTTGCTGCAAGAACCAAACACAACCGCGAGAAGAGGCAGACAATAAAAACCACCCCGGCCTCGACGCGACCTACAGGGCCAGGCGCGCGTGCTGCCCCGGTCCCGTGCCAGGCACCTCGACGCACAGCTCCTCCACCAGCGCCCTCCACGGCCGCGAGCCTCGGGCCTCCAGTCGCCGGGCGCACGCCAAGCCCGCGGCCTCGGGCCGCCGGGCCACCAGGAGAGCGTGCAGCAGGAGGCGGTGGGCAGGGCGGGAACGGTCCAGAAAGCTCCTGAGGTCCATGGCGAGTAGCGCCTGTGAAGGCCGGCAACCACGCACGGGCGCCTTCGTCTCCCCCGGTGGCGATGATTTTACACACCGCACCAGGTACACATTAGAGGCCGAGTCGACCTAGAGGTGGGGGCCAGGACCGGTTTATCGGATAATGCCGTGAGCGGTGTTGGTGGCCGTGAGCGGGAATCGAACTCGGGTCGCCGCAGCGTGGCGCTAACCGCTGCGCCACCGCTCCCCAAGCGCACGCACAGACCCGACAACTCCTTATGGTCCGTCACGACGTGGATTAACAAAGATAATGTGAAATATCACGCGCGGCAAATTTGCCTTATCTCTCGAGAAATTATCTCGTTGTGAGGGTAAATATAAATAGATATTTTTAAAAGTGTTTCACGCTTACTGCGCGTGCAGTACACAGCAAACAGGCAGCGTAGTCGGGGAAGTATTTTACGCACGCGGCGAAAAGGGAGTAAAATTAATAAATGTTAGAGAGACTCTGTGAAATGTTTACAAATGTCAATTCGTCTCGAGACATGGAGAGAGAAAATTACGCGGCGACTTTAAAAATGCCACCGTAAATTTGGCGCCAAACAGCGACGCCGAGGATGTTCGCGGTGGTGACGTCGTCGGCGGTGGTGACGTCATGTAACCCGCGCCCAAATTGATTTCATGCGCGGCGTTGACGACCGTTGCGATGACGTCACGCACCAAACGGCAACACGTACGCGATGACGTCGACGCTCAAGAGGCAACAAAGACGTCATGGCTAACGGCCGTCGACACTTGCGCGATGACGTCACGAGCGGTTCCCTCAGCCTCGCGCGCCGATTGACCCCCCCGATGACGTCACGCGAGGCCGTTTGTGTTTTTTTACTTTATATATTTTTTATATATTACAAATCTTATCGCGAATTACGTTACGCCGTCGCTATCGTAAGTCGACGTCGCAATGTACGATTAAAATAAGTAAATACTTTAAAATCTATTTTTTAAAAAATGCGATAATTTGAATATCAACCAATCAGAGACGGAGCGCGCCGAGACGAAGCCGTTAGGCGCCTGCGTTGTCGTCGGCGTCACGTGAGGCGAGGTGAGGCGCATACTCGCAACTTAAAACTTTTAAGTTTTAACGTCTGAGTAGGAAGGAGGCTTTCGCGAACGATATTGTTCATAATATAGGTGGGGTGGGGTGTGGGGAGGTAAGATCGCGTAAATATCTAAAAGTGTCGTTAAATCCACCACCACCACCCGACACTGCCGATTAATAAGGGGTTTGTCACGTCAACAGAACGTGTAGACAGTTCGTTACTATACGCAAATAAAATAATTACTTTATACCTACGTGACTTTACCGAAAGAACCAAAGTAGTATGGATTCCCTCAGTCACGAAAGCTTCAAATCAATTCGTTACTAGTTTAACACGTCGCATGCTTTCGTGACCAATATCCATAATATAGGGGGGCGGGGGGGGGAGTTATTTGTTAAATCGCGTAAATATAAACATAACGTAAAACCCGCCACCACCCGACACTGCCAATTAGTAAGGTGTTTGTCACGTAAACAGAACGTGCCCAATGCCTTACTACTAAGTACAGCACAACGGTGGTGTTGAGAGAGCAAATCCAGTAAATGTTGTGGATTCTACTTTAAATCTTGCATCTCGCTGACGATTCATGAGTCGCATCCTCTCCTTGCGTTACTTTTACAAGCAAAACGGACTTTGGAAATAAATATTTATTTAGTTGCTGAGAGAGTCGGTGGCCGTCGAGGGCCTTCATTCAGCAGTGGATTGACCACGGCCTGCCCGCTGCCTCCTATGCGTCACTGCGAACGCATGTGCAATTATACTAATTAACCGCTCGCATGACACAATTGTTGTTGCTCTTGATTTGTATTTGATGTTACAAGATGTTAACTACCTCGCCCGGTGTACAGGAGGTCGTGGGTTCGATCCCAAACCTGACGACGCCTGCTGCTGCTGTATATTTGGAGTTTGCGTGTCTCTCATCATCACGGTGACTGTGAGATGTTAAATACCTCGCCTGGTACGCAGGAGGTCGTGGGTTTGATCCCAAACCTGATGATGCCTGCTGTATATTTCGAGTTTGAGCTGTCTCTCATCATCATCACGGTGGCTATGAGATGTTAACTACCTCGCCTGGTATGCAGGAGGTCGTGGGTTCGATCCCGAACCTGATGCCTGCTGCTGTATATTTGGAGTTTGCGCGTCTCTCTCTCTCCCATCATCATCACGGTAGCTATGAGATGTTAACTACCTCATCTGGTACGCAGGAGGTCGTGGGTTCGATCTCGACCCTGACGACGCCTGCTGCTGTATATTTCGAGTTTGAGGTGTCTCTCATCAGCACGGTGGCTTTGAGATGTTAACTATCTCCTCGCCTGGTATGCAGGAGGTCGTGGGTTCGATCCCGAACCTGATGCCTGCTGCTGTATATTGGGAGTTTGCGTGTCTCATCATCATCACGGTGGCTAGGAGATGTTAATTTGCTCGCCCGGTACGCAGGAGGGCGTGGGTTCGATCCCAAACCTGACGATGCCTGCTGTATATTTGGAGTTTGAGTGTCTCTCTCTGTTTCCCCGTGGTCACGTGGATTTTAACCGGCTCCGGTTTTTTCCCCTCTACATTTAGAATCAACATCACGCGTTTAGAGTGATTTGGCTGCTGCTCTTCATTTCCACACGATGATGATGTTAAGCACACTTCGTTGAGCTATCATTGTTAGCCAGGTCGCTCCTGAATAAGAGCGATGGTAAAATAAAAAAAAATACTTTCATTTAGTAGTTACTTTATATACACAGTATATATTGTTTTTTATTTTATCACCTTGGCGACCCCGGTCACCCTTGCAAATTAAACTCATCCCAACTATCTTTGATTTCCCCATTTTGTGAAAAATCAACAGATTGTTAATGTTGTGGATTTGCTCTCCAGCACACCGGTGTTCTGCACTAGTAACGAATGGGCATGTTCTGTTCACGTGACAAACCTTACTAATTGGCTGTGTCGGGTGGTGGCGGGTTTAACGACACATTTATATTTACACGATCTAATCCAAAAAAAAACCTATATTATGGATCAACACTGGTGGTTCTACGGATGTACTGACCCCGGCGTGGCAATGTGGAACTTCCACCAATGTCTGGAGGCTGCCAGTGAATCTGAACACCAACGTCGTTTGCTAATTTACGCATCCGGAGACCGTTTTAATTTTTGCGTGGTAGTGTACCGCACACAACAATAGGGGATATTAACACACGCCTATCACATCATCTCTCTGAAGCTAAGCTGGTTTGATCCTGGATAGTGCTTGGATGAGTGAACAACTCTCCCCACCATACATAACAGGTGCTATAGGCTTCCGCGTGGCTATGCTACGTTGTGGGCAGCAGGGGACAAGTGCAGCAATACGCATTGGGTTTATTTTTTTGTCATTCCTGTGCTTAAAAGCCGAAAACCGTGTAGAAAAAGTAACTATTATTAAACGATTGTATTTTTTTAAATTTTACCCGGTAAGGCCCCACTGAGCTATTTAGTTATTTTCCAGAAGTAACCTGGCCATAAATGATAGCTCAACACAGTGGCTTATCATGTGGAAATTGATAGCAGCAGCCAAATAATCTGAACGCGCGACGTTGATTCAAAATGTGGAGGGAAAAACCGGAGGATCCAGAGAAAAATCCACGCGACCACGGAGAGAGACACTCAAACTCCAAATATACAAACAGGCGTCAGGGTCAGGATCGAACTCACGATCTCCTGCATAGCAGGCGAGGGAGATAACATCTCGCCGCCGCAGCGCCCCATTTGTTAGAAATCGATTATCTGTCTCTAAATGGGCTGTGATGCATTGTGCGAACTCTCAATGTGCTGCATGCAGGGGGTCCAGCAAGCAGAGATGGAGAAGAACAACCAGGAGAAGCATTTGGAAGTGTGCGACGACATCATCAGCTTTTTCACAAGTGATCTCAAACCCAAGGAGAACATGGACATGGCCTTGGAAATGCAGCGGAACACGATGGAGAATTGGGTGGTGCAGAGCGAGGATGCCATCCAAGCGCTGAAAGGTGCAGGATGCTTTCGCGCGCCGTAGTCTCCAGAATTTACCGCGCCCATCACATCCATGTACTTTAAAGCGAAAAGATGAGGGTGTGTCTTATAAGCCGAACTGTATATTGTCACCTCCCTTGTTCGTCTCTCGAATTTGTATCTCTCGGCTACAGCTCTCTCCTCTCGTTCATCTCTCTCGTCTGGCCCACGAACCGCCAGTTGGAAGTACCTTCCTCTCAATGACATGTTCACGCTGCATGATCATCATTAGGGAGTACCTACTGCTGGTAGGCGGATGGGTAGGAACACGTACCTCCCTTGACGATTTCGGGGTCAGCGTCATGGTCAAAGCGCACGAGGGGGGGAAGCATGTATCTGGGAGAGGCAAGGTTTGGATTACAACTACTAAACTTTTTTTATTTTACCAGGTAAGGCCCACTGACCTATGTAGCTCTTTTTCAGAAGCAACTTGGCCACATGATAACTCAACGAAGTCGTTTATCATGTGGAAATGTATGGCAGCCGAATACTGTAAATGCATTCATCTGAATTTGGCCCTGGAGAAAAATCTATGCAACCACGGTGAGAGCATGCAAACTCCAAATATACAGCAGGCGTCAGGGTCGGGGTCGAACCCACGACCTCCTGTATACGAGGCGAGGTAGTTAACATCTTGCCGCTGTGGCGCCATTTATGAGACGCCACGAAAAATAAGGCTTGCCACAAACTTGCTCCCCGCGTAAGTGCACGCTGCACGCACTTACCGGATAAAAAAAAATGCACCCTGCAGATTTTACTTTAAGGTGCAGGGGAAAATTTGCGCCTTGTAATCTGGAGAATGTTTACGCCGTGCAACTGGGCCGCACCGGCGCCGTGCTGAGCCGGCCCGGCCGAAGCTCGGGAGGCACCAGGTAAATTATTTCCACTGCAGAAGTTGAGCTGTGCCGCTTACGCTTACGGCACACGCGACGGAACGAACCGAGAGGAACGTAGGTGTGACGCCGTTTCCTCGGTGTACCGACGTTGTGCGTAACACGACTTTGGGCCAACCATCGAACGGAGATGGCCACTGCATAGTATCGCGCTTTCAGATGCGCGTCCGCGGCAGTCTGGAACGCTCTTCCGATATCGGGAAGCCACCGGAGCTGTGCACTTTTAAATCTAATTTGAAAACTCATTTCTTCAGGACTGCTTTTTTATGTTTAGCTTATCGTCATCCCTCCGCGCCTCCGATTACGTATGTTGTGAAGGAAGTCCAACATACATCTCTCCTCTGCTCCTCTCTGTACCCCTCAAAAGAATGACGAAATGAAATGCACACGCTCGGACTTCGCTCAAGTGCCCGCAGGGTCGTCATCGACGGGACTAAGCTTCTGGCTAAAACGCCGGCCTAATTTTAACACTGAGCAAAAACCCCTCCTCCCCTCCCCCCGGCGCTTGCGCCGCGCGCCGCTCGCCTCGCCGCAGACAAAATGTCGCTGAAGATGGCGCGGGAGGAGATGATGCTGGCGACGAATGACCTCGGCGCGGCGAAGCGGGAGCTGGAGCAGGTGGAGGCCGAGCTGCAGCAGAAGCTACAGGAGCAGGAGGAGCAGCGACAGGCACTGGCATATCCTTGGACGTGCGGGCGGGCGCCGCGCACGCAGCGACCTCCGCGCAGGGCTGGGTCACGAGAATCGAATAGAGAATGTTTATTTATACTGGAGAATCCGATGAGCTACACATCTTTTTTTCTCGGATGTCCAGTAGGGGCACGGAGTTGGAATGTTACAACAACAAATGGTACAAAAACACGATAGGAGTGCAGAAAATAGGAAGGGTTAAACAGATCACTGAAATAAAATATACAAATTAAAACTTAACTATTTTTTTTATATTACTAGCTAAAGCCCACTGAGGTATTAACTTATTTTTCAGAAGCGATCCGGCCACAAATGATAGCTCAACAAATTGGCTTGGCGTGTGGAAATTTTAGCGCAGCAAAATAATCTAAATGCAAGAAAATCTTGAGAGCCATTGCTGAACGCTCGCGTTACGACTCCTTGTAACTTTACGAATGTCAAATGTCGTAACTGCCTGGACATCTGTGAAAAAGATCTTTATATCTCATCGGATTCCTCCAGCGTGAATAAACATTCTGATACCAACGGCTTGGTTTTCACACCTGATGATGACCGTTTGTGTTATGGTCGAAACGTCGTGAGAATTTTTATTGTTTTATATATATTTTATTTTATTGTTTCCCTTCAACGTGACTTTACCGAAAGAACTAAGAATATGAATTACTGCAGTCACGAAAGCTTTAAATCAAAATTCTGATAGTTATAAATTTGCGCCGTCTGCAAATTGTGGCCGAAGACGTTGAGCTCCCGTGACATTATTCCTAAGAGCGCCCCCCCTCCGTGCGTGGCGCCATCTGAAGTCCAAATGTGATTAATTACTCTTCAATAGCTTGGTTGGGAGAAACCATGGGTTTAACATTGCCCCCGTGCTGATAGACCCCACCCGTGTACGTGCAAGGTCTGTCTTGCGTGAACCTTGCACTGCGTAGGATACGTCTGCCACACCAGGTGTACCCCTCGGCTGAAGTTAGAAGCGGGGCATTGGAAGGCTTGAGATGGCAGTCGATTTTCGTCTTGGCCGTTGAACAGAGATGTATTTCTACGGCCGTCTGGGACGCTCTTCCTTCCAATATTAGGAAGCCACTCAAGCAAGCTATGCACTTTTTAATATAGATTGTAAACTAATTTGTTTAGAACGGCTTTTTGTGTTTAGTTTGTGTTGTCCTTCCCCCCCGCACCTCTGATGAGCACAGTTGGCTACGTACGGTGTGAAATAAGTTCAACGTACCTACATGGAATCACACAGAGACCCATAGACTCACAAAGAGACCCACAGACTCGCACACAAACGCATAGCTTGTTGTCCTTCCCCTGTACCTCCGATCAGCACGGTTGGCTACGTACGGCGCGAAATAAGTTCTACGTACGTACGTTGCGACCGCGATGTTCAGCAGGGGTTGTGAGCCCATGGTCGATTTAGCCCCTTGACCGACGTCGCACTCGCTGCTTGGCCGAACTGGAGGAGGCAAAGAACTTGGAGAAGGAGCTGAAGCTCCAAGAGGAGGACATCACGGTGGAGTTGACCGACGTGATCCCCAGCACCAAGTACGTGCGCGCACGCGTGCCCGGTCATCGCGTTTTGTTGTTGTAAATTAATTTTATCGATCCGATCCACGGGGGGGCGCGAGGGGGCGGGATGTACAACTTCCACGACGGGCGAGTGGTGCGTCGCCGGCAATGCGGTTCGGACAGACGGCCAACGCGGGACGCGTAGGACCCATAGCGTTATGCGGCACGTGGGTCGGATCCCTTTTATTCGGGGAAAGAGGCGGGGGCGGGGGGGGCGGGTCAAGTCTCATTTCCAAACTCTGTCTCTCCCAGGTACATGGTTCACCTCCTGTCCAAGCTGACGCTCGTGCGCTTCGACTACGATGCCGACCCTCAAATCGTCAAGGGAGGTACGTGTTCCTACCTACCCGCCCGCCCGCCTACCAGTAGGTGCTCCCTAATGGTGATCATGCAGTGTGAACGTGTCGACGAGAGGAGGAGGTTACTCCCAATTGACTTCCCGCTGGCCGGATGCGACCCCCTCGCCCACTGATCTACGTATGGCCTGAGCAAGACAGAGGCAGATCAGTGAGATGACTAAGCAGATGAACAAGAGAGGAGACAGCTGTAGACGAGACGTACAGATTTAGAGAGATGAACAAGAGAGGTGATGATATATTGTTCGGCTTTTAAGACACACCCTCATCTTTCGTTATAAAATACATGGATTGTGTGTGTGGGGGGGGGGGTAGTGTGTCTTATAATCTTTCATATGTTTTAGGGAGCGGTGGCGCAATGGTAAGCGTGCTGCGCTACGGACCCGGTGATCCGGGTTCAATTAACGCTCAAGGCCACAAACACCATTGACGATTATCTGAACCAGTCCTGGGCCTCCCCCAGGTCGATTCAGTCTGAGACGGGTGCTTGGTGCGGTGTGTCATAAACATTGCCACTCAGGAGACAAAGACGGCCGGGCGTGGTGTTGGCCAGCTACCCCCTCATGTGCCATGGCAACTTTCATACGCGCTCGCTAACAGCACTTATCCCAAATGTCTGTTTAGGCTACACGGTGGCGAGGATGTTAACTACCTCGCCTGGTGTGCAGGAGGTCGTGGGTTTGATCCCGACCGTGACGCCTGCTGCTGTATATTTGGAGTTTGCGTGCATCTCCCCGTGGTCACGTGGATTTTTCTCAGGGTCCTCCGTTTTTCTTCCCTCAACATTTAGAATCGACGTCACGCGTTTAAGAGTATTTGACAGCCGGGTCGCTTCTGTAAAAAGAGCTACACAAGTCAGTGGGGGCTTACCTGGTAAAATAAAAAAAATAGAAATGTTTCAATCGTCACAGTTTATAATGTGGCGAATACGGTAAATGCAAAGTGCTAACGGCGATGCTGCGTGTGGCTTGGTTGCGATTATGCGTGCAGTGGTGGGGAACAAGACGGGCGTGCAGCCCTTCGAGTTGAATACCCGCCAACACAGCCGCTCCTTCATCGTCAACTACCTGTGGAGCCTCGTGGACTCGGAGTGGTAGTGTCCACCGGCCGGACTCGACTGTCGAACTGCAGGAACATTTCCGTTTGTCCACTACCACCATCGTACGTAGTCAACCGCGCTAATCGGATGTGCCGAGGGAAGGACAACAAACTATGGGTCTCTTTGTGAGTCTGTGGGTCTCTGTGCGAGCCTTTGTATGTACGTGTGTCGAACTTCTCTCGCAAACGTACGTAGCTAACCGTGCTAATGGGAGCTGCAACAAACTAAACACAACAACGAGCAGTTCTGAAGAAATTAGTTCGTCAATCTAGGTGATGGTTTAAAAGTGCGGCATCGCTCCCAGTGGCTTCCTAATACCAGAAAGGAAGAGCGTTCCAGACGGCCGCAGGAGGCACATCCGAAAGCGGCACGCGACTCGGTGACCTTCTTTGTTCGATGGCTAGCCAGCGGCGGTCGTGATCGATCCGCTGCTGGATGGAGTCTCGCAAAGTAACGGTCCTCCTAGCACCTGCAAACGAGCATCATTCCCTCTTGGCAATGTAAACTGCCCAAGCCCATTTATACGAAGTCAACATTTTTTAAATAAATTTACGTTCGATTGTTTGATGTCTTTAACTTTTGTAACGTTCTGTAATACTGTACATAAGTCTCTCGTGTCTCTAATCCCAAACATCGTGCATCTCTCGGTGATTCTTTGCGGAATGTACATATGCTATTTGTATATATGTGTGCGTGTGCCTTTGTCAACGATGCTGCTTCAGCAGCGTTTGCGAACTTAAAATGTGCAGGCTTTTTGTCAATTTCGCTACCAGACGAAGGTTTTCTTCTGCCATGTCGGTCGTGGGCGGTTGTCTGGCCATACTTCACCACGCTGGTCAGTGCGGGTTTGGAACGTGGCACAGGGGCCCGGAAGTAATGTCGGTATCACTTGCCACCGATTGTTAGCTATGCCCGGGAATCGAACCCAGGCCACCGCGGTTCACAGCCCAGCGTGCTAAGCCACCGCTCGGTGTATAAACGGGAGTTATAAACAACAATAATGTGAAATTTCGATTTAAAGCATTCGTGACTGCAAGGATTCATCTTCTTTGGTTCTTTTGGTAAAGTCACGTAGAATGAGAATAAAATAATAAATTGATAAAATAAAATAACACAATAATATTCTCACGACGTTTCGGCCACAACACAAGCGGCCTTCATGTGTTGTGGCCGAAACGTCGTGAGAATTTTATTGTGTTATTTTATTTTATCAATTTATTATTTTATTCTCATTCTACGTGACTTTACCGAAAGAACCAAAGAAGAACAATAATGTGTTAAAAGGAACAACATGTTCTGGATCACTTGCTGCCCAATGTTGGTCAATAATTTGCCTGTTTTTATTCCCTAGACATTTTGGAAGGCGATATTTACCCATCACCGCAATCATCTTAGCCGCACTAAACAGCTACTAGACGGGGGGGGGGGGGGGGGTGGGCGTGTTAACTGCCTTGGTAGTACTGTGTTTTTCATTTTAGCACGCTCAGTTTCTGTCACTACGAAGGCCTCTTCATGCTTCGGACGGCACGTGCGTTATTATTATGATTGTATAATGCCACGGTGTGTTAGTGTGGCCTGCACAAGGTAATTGAAATATTGTTCGTCCACTTGTAAGGAAAAAGGTGACCCCACCCCCAGTTCTCAAGAGATCTGGCCTCATGGAGTCTCCACATTGACACGTGACTAATTACACACCACTCCTAAACTCACAATAAAGTGATGCATATGTTAGGTGGACCTGTTTTGTCTTGGCAGTCGTGTTATGTTGAGTTTTGTACGACTTAAGTGTACATGCAACGCGCTTATTCTGTTCCCGACGTGTCTGTAATAACAAAAAAAACAATTTCACTACTTGAATACTGGTGGGGGCAACGCATGATGGACAGCTTTACACAATGCCTGCGTGCCCGTAACAGTGTCTGTACTGTTCGTTTAGGAAACTTAGTTCAGGGACTTCTCTACTTACGAACGAGTTGGGTTCCAGAGGTGTCTGTTTGTAAGTCGATTTGTCTGTCCAACTTTACTCCTGTCAATTCCGAACATGTACGGCATATACACTTAACACGGGGAATTACTTTAAACGTATAATCTCCTTTAGATGTAAATGCAACTTGTTCTTCATGTTCTGCAGATGTAGATGCCACTGGTTCTTCACGTTCTGCAGATGTAAATGCAACTTGTTCTTCACCTTATGCAGATGTAGACGCCACTGGTTCTTTATGTTCTGCAGATGTAGATGCCACCGCCGCCGTATATTGCATGGCGGTTGAACTGGGAAACTGGACATACGAACCAGGTTTGTTTGTAGCTCTGAAAGTTCATAAGTGGAATGTTCGTAAGTAGAGGAGTCCCTTTAAAAAAAATGTTTTTAAGTTGAAATGCTGCGTACACCACGTAATGCTTGAACGCCGCGCGTTCGTGAATTGCAGTTTTATTTACAGCAACATAAATACCCAACAGCGAGGAGGATACACACAGCTCTCTCGAGGTCACTGCTGAAGTTCTAAAAACTCGATCTAAGCTCTGGACTTGGTGGTCTCCCCCTCGTACGGTCGGTCCAGCATCGGGCATGCGCATCGTACGTGTTCGCCTGATAGCCCTGTGAGCCATGCGGCTCTTGACTCGGGTGCAACGGCAACAAACAAAGACATGAACAAAGAAACATCTTTAAGAAGGTGAGGGAACCACTGGGCTATACTACTGAGTAGCGGGGCACAGGCGCGGAGGATTTACGAACGGTAGTTGGAACTTCCGTCCCGGTGTTGCGAGCAACGGTGAACACCACTGTGGCAGCATCCCCAATCAGTGTAGCTCACACATTCTCATGATGTTCTCGAAGGACGAGAAGGCTGAAGAGTTATATACATCCGTCAAGTCTACGCCGCTAACGAGAAACGTCGGAATACATTTTTACTTTTCGTTTTGGTCCGACAAGAATACTACTTTTCCCGATGCTTTCAATCGTGGCAGGGGAATTCTTTCCTGCGCTTTGTAAGGAAGCAAGATGTCGCGGGATTTTAATAACGCACCACTTGTGCATGTGAAACGGCAAGTCAGATTGGAGAAGATCTTTGGAAAATTCATACCTTGTCAACCCCTTATCAGTGCCTGCCTCATTGCAGACCAATTCAGACCGTATTGATCACCCCGTGCCCACTTATAAATCTCAACGTTCATCCTACAAAGTCCCATCACAAGGGAGAAACACAAATTTACAAAAAAAACATTTGTTTGCACGTATTAAGACGGCCGTACACCGAATGGAACAGAAAACTCTATCCCTGTGCATGAATACAAAGCAAACCGTAATGGGTTGACAGGTATTAAAATTACAGTTTACACCGAAGCACCGTATGTACGTGTTGAATTTCTTTCGCACCGTACGTAGCTATCATCGGAGGTGCACCAATAATAACTACGCTGTGTTTGGTTGGTGGGTGGGGGTGGCGCTTATTGCAGACGCTGAGGACAGGCACCAGCAACAGCGCCGTGGCTCGTCACGCGCAGCGAGCGTTAGCGTGTGATGGTTGATAACTTTTTTTTAATCTATTGTGTTTCTCACGTGGACAAATACGCGATGTTGTTCACGAGCGGCACAGTTTGGTGCCCGAAAAGTAACTCGGGGCTTTGAAACGGGGGAGCCAATGGGAACACGACGATCGCTTAACGAGAGATTTTCTCTTAATGAGCGATTTTCTCTTAACCAGCGATTTTCTCTTAACCAGCGATTTTCTCTTAACGAGCGATTTTCTCTTAACCAGCGATTTTCTCTTGAGAGATTTTCTCTTAACCGGCGATTTTCTTTTAACGAGAGATTTTCTCTTAACGAGAGATTTTCTCTTAACGAGCGATTTTCTCTTAACCAGCGATTTTCGCTTAACCAGCGATATGCTCTTAACCAGCGATTTTCGCTTAACGAGCTATTTTCGCCCAACGTATATCGCTCGTTAAGCGGGACACGCCCGTCCTGTATCCTTGCGGTGGCTAGGAGATGTTAACTCCCTCGCCAGGTATACAGGAGGTCGTGGGTTCGATCCCGACCCTGACTACTGCTGCTGTATATTTGGAGTTTGCGGTGTCTCTCTCTCTCTCTCTCCACGTGGTCGCGTGGATTTTTCTCCGGTTTTCCCTCTCCACGTTTAGAATCAACATCGCTCGTTCAGAGTATTTGGCAACTGCGACAAAATTCCGACTCGATGTTGTTGTTAAGCCCACTTCGTCGAGCACTCGTTGGTGATGGCCGGGATGGCTTCTGAAAAAAATAGCTGTATCGCTCCGGTGGGTCTGGCCTGTTCAAAAAGTTCAACTTAGTACCGTCTCTTTTAGGAATCGTCAGCAAATTGGGCTTTGCCATGCCAACCAACACACGAATAGCAAAGCTGCATGACGGGGGGTGACGGAGGGGGGAGGGGGGTGGAGATATTGGCAGAGATGGGGAGCTGTAGAAATGGAAACATCTGGGCTGTAACTGGAGCGGACAATTGCAGGAGAAAGTCTTTTTTTTTTTAAGACGTCTCACCGTCAACGAGATGAGTCTGGCACCCGGAGGCCTCCGTCACTGCCACGAGTTCCGTACACGGTTGCAGGCAGTGCCGGATTATCAGTAGCAAAAGTAGCTACATAATGTAGTAGCTACATATACTACACATGTAGTAGCTACGGGCCCCGCACTTTCAAGGGCCCCGCGCTAAATGCTTTCAAGCTATCAATTCCGGCTCAGTGATTCTGCACTTGCTCTATTACTATAGTACTATACCGCCTTCAACTTTTATGAACGACCAGGTGTTTTAAGGTTAGCGATTTGTCGAATTATCTGGGCTGTATAGCAAATAAAAAATATACGATTACTTTACTGTGCCAGTTAAACATTTGTGTGTGTGTTTTTTAAAAATTTAGGGCCCCTTTATAACATTTGCTACATGCCCCGCACGAGCTTCATCCGGCACTGGTTGCACGACCGAGTGTTGGGCAGCCAGCAATAATCGCCAGCAACATCGCCAGCAACATCGCCAGCAACATCGCCAGCAACATCGCCAGCAACATCGCCAGCAACATCGCCAGCAACATCGCCAGCAACATCGCCAGCAACATCGCCATGTCCCGCAAACGAAGCGTCTGTCGCGCGCTTTAAACAACAACAACAACCCATCAAACACGCAATTTCAACATCTTCTTAGCTCTTTCGGTAAAGTCACGTTGAAGGGAAACACTAAATTAATAAAATATATATAAAACAAGGTGATGACCGTTTGTGTTATGGTCGAAACGTGAGAATTTTTATTGTTTTATATATTTTATTATTTTATTGTTTCCCTTCAACGTGACTTTACCGAAAGAGCTAAGAATATGAATTAATGCAGTCACGAAAGCTTTGAATCAAAATTTCAACATCGTTACGGGAACGCGCACGCCTTTTGCTCCAGAAGTAAAACGCAAAAATACAAACTCATACACCTTTGGTTCTTTCGGTAAAGTCACGTAGGTAGAAAAAATATAATAGATCGCAGCAATAAGCAATCGTCATCAGGTCACAGACAACTACAGCAAGAAGAAAACTGCTGAAGGGAGGTTTTTTTTTCAGCAGTTTTCACTTTAGCAGTTTGTTTTTCTTGCTGTGGTTGTCCCACCTGATGACGATTGCTTGTGTTGCGATGGAAACGTTGTGATCTGTTATGTTTTGTCTACCCACGTGACTTCACCGAAAGAACCAAAGAGCATGGATTCCTGCAGTCACGAAAGCTACAAATCAAGATTTTAAAAAAATAAAAATGGATTTATTTGTTTTAACGAATTGAATTGTAACAATTGTGACGATCTCGGACGTTCCTTTAAGCCGCCCGTCGGTTCACAAGGCAACGGGCGTGAGAGCGACTTCCTCTCTCAAAAGCCTCACCAACTCTTCTCCACCATCGCCAACTCTTTTCCCTCCCCTCGCCCCTCCACTCCTTCCCGTCCCTCCCCTTTGACCGTTTCGTGATCCCCTCTCGGTTCGCCAACATCGCTGCTGGCGCTCATTCCCCAATACCTCGCAGCACCACCCCCCCCCCCGCCTCTCCTGCCCAAACTAAGTTATTCCGTTCTGTCATTCGTTTTGTAAGCCGAGCGAAGGCGCTCCAGAGTGGTGGATTTCGATTCGATGGACCGGTCCAGAGTTTGCTTGCGTTGCAATCCGATGCTGCTGGAATCGTGGCACTCCCGTCAAAGGGTGAAGGTCCGTGCTGCTGATGGGAATGCGTCGATGGCCTGAGTCCATTCGTCCGTCATTCTTCAACGTTGCCAGGTTTTGTTGTTTCGTTGTTCACGAGAAAGAAAGAACGGATATGAAAAAAAAAACAGCGGCAAATTGGCAGATCCCTTGTTTCCTTTTCTTTCACTCTCGCCGCAGATTAGGACGCTGTGCCACGCGCGGTTACACCAACCACCACCAATCACCACCAACCAACTACCACGACGCAACACTACCACCAACCACCACCAACCAACGACCACGACCCACCACCAATCACCAACAACCAACCGCAACAACCCACCAACGCCCATCACCGCCAACCACCACCGCAAACTACCACCAACCACCACTATCCCCAGACCACAACAATGCTTCGTGCCTCGTGCCAGATCCCACAGCTGTTGCACGTGACCTCCCAAGGCCACGTGTTGACTGTTGCACACCGTTCCACAGTCAACACGTGGCCTTGGGAGGTCACGTGTTGACTTGCACACCGTTGCACAGTCAACACGTGACCATGGTCTGATGAGGTATTGCTGTGTAGGTGAGACAACCTTCAAGGAGCACTCTCATCACCACCAACGTCTGATGAGGTATTGCTATGTAGGTGACAACATCCTTCAAGAAACACTCATCACCACCATCACCACCAACGTCTGATGAGGCATTGCTATGTAGGTGACAACATCCTTCAAGAAACTCTCATCACCACCATCACCACCAACGTCTGATGAGGCATTGCTATGTAGGTGACAACATCCTTCAAGAAACTCTCATCACCACCAACGTCTGATGAGGTATTGCTATGTAGGTGACTCATCCTTCAAGAAACACTCATCATCACCACCAACGTCTGATGAGGCATTGCTATGTAAGTGACACAAACCTTCAAGAAACACTCATCACCACCACGGTCTGTTGAGGCATTGCTATGTAGGTGACTCATCCTTCAAGAAACATCACCACCATCACGACCAACGTCTGATGAGGCATTGCTATGTAAGTGCCTCATCCTTCAAGAAACACTCTCATCATCACCACCAACGTCTGATGAGGCATTGCTATGTAAGTGACACAAACCTTCAAGAAACACTCATCACCACCACCACCACGGTCTGTTGAGGCATTGCTATGTAGGTGACTCATCCTTCAAGAAACATCACCACCATCACGACCAACGTCTGATGAGGCATTGCTATGTAAGTGCCTCATCCTTCAAGAAACACTCTCATCATCACCACCAACGTCTGATGAGGTATTGCTATATATGTGACAACATCCTTCAAGAAACTCTCTCATCACCACCATCACCACCAACATCTCAGGCAGTGTCCCAACCAGTGCCGGATTAAGCTAGTGTGGGGCCTGTAGCATATATTATCAAGTGGTCCTCGATATAAAAAAACACGTAAATATTAAAACTTGCACAGTAAATAATTGTATTTTTTCATTTTATATACAGCCCAGATAATACGACAAATCGTTAACCTCAAACGCCCGGTCGTTCATAAGAGTTGAAGGCGGTATAGTACTATATTAATAGAGCAAGTGCAGGATCACCGAACCCGAAATCGATAGCTTGAAATCATTTAGCGCGGGGCCCTTTAAAGTGCGGGGCCCGTAGCTACTGCATATGTAGCTACTACATATGTAACATGTCGCTACTACATATGTAGTAGCAACATGTGTAGTAGCTACATGTGTAGCTAAGTAGCTACATAGCTACATATACAGTAGCTACATATGTAGTAGCTACTCTTGTACATATATAGTAGCAACAAGAGTAGCTACTACACGTGTAGCTACTAGGATGACGATAATCCGGCACTGATTCCAAACATTCCCCCTCCGCTCCAACGACCAAGTGGCGGAACGCGCCACCGCCTCCCTCCGTCTGCTCCCCCCCCCTCCCCCGTGGTAACTCCACATTCCCACGACTTGAAGGTTCATCTCAACTACGGCGAGATGTTATCTCCCTCGCCTGGCGTGCAGGTAGTCGTGGATTGTTCGATCCCGACCCCTTTGACGCCTGCTGCTGCTGCTGTGTATTTAGAGTTTGCGTGTCTCATCATCATCACGGTGGCTATGAGATGTTGACAACCTCGCCTGGTGCACAGGAGGTCGTGGATTCGACGCCTGCTGCTGTATATTTGGAGTTTGCGTCTCTCTCATCATCATCACGGTGGCTAGGAGATGCTGACTACCTCGCCTGGTGTACAGGAGGTTGTGGGTTCGACCCCGACCCTGACGCCTGCTGCTGTATATTTGGAGTTTGCGTCTCTCTCATCATCATCACGGTGGCTAGGAGATGTTAACTACCTCGCGTGGTATACAGGAGGTCGTGGGTTCGATCCCGACCCTGACGCCTGCTGCTGTATATTTGGAGTTTGCGTGTCTCTCTCTCTCCACATGCTGGTCGCGTGGATTTTTTTTATCTTCTGGTTCCTCCGGCTCTTCCCCCCCCCTCTCCACATTTATAATCAACGTGTGTTTGTAGATTATTTGACCGCTGCTATAGATTTTCCGAACGTTGATGACAAGCGGCAACTGCTGCCCCCTGTGAGGCACGGGGGGTGGCCACGTGGCCCGGGCCGGCGCACGTGGCAATGCGACGCCAACTTCGTTGACCTATCGCCGTTTGTGATGGCCAGGTCGCTGCTGACAAACCAACGAGCTAAATAGCTCAGTGGACTTTACCTGGGTGGGGTTCATATTCTTTGGGTCTTTCGGTAAAGTCACGTAGATCGGTGAAAATAACATAAAACTACTAAAGAAAATACTTTAAAAAGTAGGGTTTTTTTTAGTGCGTTGCGATCGAAACGTCGTAGTTTTTTTATTGTTTTCTTTGAACCTATCCACGTGACTTTACCGAAAGACCCACAGAATGGCAACAATTCCCGCAGTCACGAAAGCATTAAGTCAAGATTTACCTGGGGGGGGGGTTTAAAAACAAGAAAAAATTTGTTGTTGCAAAGTTTTTAGACAGACGGCCGCCGCTCCTCCTCCCGGCCCTTCGTCTGACGCGGCGTTCCATCTCCTCCCTCCTCCTCCTCAACGCCTCCCTCCCTCCGCCACCGCCGCCACCACCGCCAGCCTTCGCCAGGCCACGCGGCCACGACTGGAGTGGCCGAGCGCCGTCTCCTCCTCCTCCTCCTTCGGCGTCGCCCGAAGCTGTTGGGGCTTCGCGTGGCCTTCCCGGCCGAGCGCTGCGGCTCGGAGCCGCCGCGGCGCTTGCCCAGCAGGCGGTAGAGGCGGTGGCTCAGATTCTGCACTTGGCACGAGCTCAGGGAGCAGCCGCTCGCCAGGGCGCCCCCCTTGCCCACGTGCTGCAGCTGCTGCACGTGGGCGACCTGGGCGGAGGAGGGGGACGCGCGGCGCTTCTGGCGAGGGCTGCGTCGCAAGGTTTGGCTGTTTTGGAGGTGGTGGATGTGGTGGTGGATGTGGTGGTGGTGGTGGTTGTGGATGTGGTGGTGGATGCGGTGGTGGACGTGGTGGTGGATGTGAACATGGTGAATGTGAAGGTGGAGGTGATGGAGGTGGTGGATATGGTGGAGGTGGTGGATATGGTGGAGGCATATGTTGGAGGTGGTGGTGAACATTGTGAATATGGTGGAGGTGGTGGATATGGTGGAGGTGGTGGATATAATGGAAGTGGCGGAGGAGGACAGAGAGCAAGGAAGAGAGAGGTCGCGGTCAATTCGTTGTTTATATTTCTCATCGTCGGAATCCCAGGTGAGCAAACGAGGCGGTGCAGGTCTCTTGCCCCGAAGAAGCCAGTTGCAGCCATTCCTCGTTGCTATGGCAGTGGCGAGTCTCGCCGCAGGACTTCCCCACCGAATGGCACCCAATCACTTAATGCGCCCTGGCCTGAGTTTGAACCCCCGGCCCGGGATTTGAACTCTACGGATTTTTTTATTTTTCCGATTGGTCACGAGCCGCTCATTTTCGACCCGTAAAGCCCGCCTTGAGCGGTCATCACCCTGGACCGTGCGATGCATCACAAGGCATCACGTGGCATCACGTGGCATCACGAGGCGTCACGAGGCATCACAAGGCGTCACAAGGCGTCACAAGGCATCACGAGGCATCACGAGGCGTCACGAGGCATCACAAGGCATCACGAGGCGTCACAAGGCGTCACGAGGCATCACAAGGCATCACGAGATGTCACGTGGCATCATGAGATGTCACAAGGCGTCACAAGGCATCACGAGGCGTCACAAGGCATCACGTGGCATCACGAGGCGTCACGAGGCATCACAAGGCGTCACAAGGCGTCACAAGGCATCACGAGGCATCACGAGGCGTCACGAGGCATCACAAGGCATCACAAGGCGTCACGAGGCATCACGAGACGTCACAAGGCATCACGAGATGTCACAAGGCATCACGTGGCATCACGAGGCGTCACAAGGCATCACGAGATGTCACAAGGCGTCACAAGGCATCACGTGGCATCATGAGGCATCACAAGGCGTCACGAGGCGTCACAAGGCGTCACGTGGCATCACGAGGCGTCACAAGGTGTCACAAGGCATCACGAGGCATCACGAGGCATCACAAGGCATCACAAGGCGTCACAAGGCATCACGTGGCATCACGAGACGTCACAAGGCATCACGAGATGTCACAAGGCGTCACAAGGCATCACGAGGCGTCACAAGGCATCACGTGGCATCACGAGGCGTCACGAGGCATCACGTGGCATCATGAGGCATCACAAGGCGTCACGAGGCGTCACAAGGCGTCACGTGGCATCACGAGGCGTCACGAGGCGTCACAAGGCGTCACGAGGCGTCACGAGGCATCACGAGGCATCACAAGGCGTTACAAGGCATCACGAGGCATCACAAGGCATCACACGGCGTCACGAGGCATCACGAGGCATCACGAGGCATCACGAGGCGTCACAAGGCATCACAAGGCATCACGAGGCGTCACGTGGCATCACGAGGCATCACAAGGCGTCACAAGGCATCACAAGGCATCACGAGGCATCACGAGGCGTCACGAGGCATCACAAGGCATCACGAGGCGTCACAAGGCATCACAAGGTGTCACGAGGCATCACAAGGCATCACGAGGTGTCACAAGGCATCACAAGGCGTCAGGAGGCATCACGTGGCGTCACGAGGCATCAAGAGGCATCAAGAGGCATCACGAGGCGTCACGAGGCATCACAAGGCATCACAAGGCGTCACAAGGCGTCACGAGGCGTCACGAGGTGTCACGTGGCATCACGAGGCATCACAAGGCGTCACGAGGCATCACGAGGCGTCACAAGGCATCACAAGGCGTCATAAGGCGTCACAAGGCATCACGTGACATCACAAGGCATCACAAGTCGTCACGAGGCGTCGTCCTGCACGGGGATCTCCGGCGTCAGCTCTCTCTATGCGACAAGAGATGCGCACGCCACTGCCCAGCGCAACAGAATGGTTGAGAATCAGAATATGTATTTTTTATGCTGCAGGAGGAATCCAATGAGCTATGCACGTCTTTGTTTCTCTCGCAGATGTCCAATACCAAATGACGCCTGCTGTATATTTGGAGTTTGCGTCTCTCATCATCATCATCACGGTGGCTATGAGATGTTAACTACATCGCCTGGTATACAGGAGGTCGTGTGTTCGATCCTGACCCTGACGATGCCTGCTGCTGTATATTTGGAGTTTGCGGTGTCTCTTTCTGATCATCACTGCGTTGGCTATGAGAATGTTAACTACCTCGCCTGGTATACAGGAGGTCGTGGGTTCGATCCTAACCCTGCGATGCCTGCTGCTGTATATTTGCAGTTTGCGGTGTCTCTCTCTCTCTGTGTTTCCCCATGATCGCGTGGATTTTTCTCCGGGTGCTCCGGTTTCTCGCTCCCCACCCCCCCCCCCCCCCTGCACATTGACAATCAGCATCACGCATTTAGAGTTTTTGGCTACTGCTTCTACATCTCCACGTTACGACAACTTAGCCCACTTCGTTGAGCCATCATTTGCCGGCCAGCTCGCTTCTGTAAAAAAAACAAGAAGAGCTACGTAGCTCAGTGGGCCTTACCTGCTAAAAATAAAAAATATATATTTTAATAGCTAGTTAGAAACCCGAGGGACGGCTCCGGCGGTGATCCATCAACCCTCGCTGCTGCCTCCGCCACGCTCCATCACAAAAACGAAACAACAGTCACCTGGCGCGTTGAGGCATCTCTGTGGGCTGCTCGCTGCTGGCGGAGATGGAGGAGCGAGGGTGGTGGTCGTGGAGGAGGAGGAGGTGGTGTTGGAGTTGAGGAGGTGAGGACGCTGTCTCGTCCACCTCTTCGCATCGCGCGATGAGTGGCCTATTGCGGAGGTGCGACACACGCAGAGACGAGGGTTGTGCCTCCTCGTTACACCTGGGGGCTTCCTTCATTCATTCAGTCCTAACAAGACATGACATCATCCCATCACTCGTCATCACACGTGCTGCATTCAGTTGACATCCCTAACAAGACATGACATCATCCCATCACTCTCCATCACACGTGCTTCATTCAGTTGACATCCCTAGCAAGACATGACATCATCCCATCACTCACCATCACACGTGCTTCATTCAGTTAACATCCCTAACAAGACATGACATCATGCCATCACTCGTCATCCCACGTGCTTCATTCAGTTGAAATCCTTAGCAAGACATGACATCATCCCATCACTCACCATCCCACGTGCTTCATTCAGTTGACATCCCTAGCAAGACATGACATCATCCCATCACTCGCCATCACACGTGCTGCATTCAGTTGACATCCCTAGCAAGACATGACATCATCCCATCACTCGTCATTCCACGTGCTTCATTCAGTTGACATCCCTAACAAGACATGACATCATCCCATCACTCGCCATCACACGTGCTTCATTCAGTTGACATCCCTAGCAAGACATGACATCATCCCATCACTCGTCATTCCACGTGCTTCATTCAGTTGACATCCCTAACAAGACATGACATCATTCCATCACTCGCCATCACACGTGCTTCATTCAGTTGACATTCCTAGCAAGACATGACATCATCCCATCACTCGCCATCACACGTGCTCCATTCAGTTGAAATCCCTAGCAAGACATGACATCATCCCATCACTCGCTATCACACGTGCTCCATTCAGTTGACATCCCTAACAAGACATGACATCATCCCATCACTCGGCATCCCACGTGTTTCATTCAGTTGACATCCCTAGCAAGACATGACATCATCCCATCACTCGCCATCACACGTGCTTCATTCAGTTGACATCCCTAGCAAGACATGACATCATCCCATCACTCGTCATCCCACGTGCTTCATTCAGTTGACATGCCTAACAAGACATGACATCATCCCATCACTCGTCATCACACGTGCTTCATTCAGTTGACATCCCTAACAAGACATGACATCATCCCATCACTCGTCATCTCACGTGCTTCATTGAGTTGAAATCCCTAGCAAGACATGACATCATCCCATCACTCACCATCCCACGTGCTTCATTCAGTTGACATCCCTAACAAGACATGACATCATCCCATCACTCGCCATCACACGTGCTGCATTCAGTTGACATCCCTAACAAGACATGACATCATCCCATCACTCGTCATCCCACATGCTTCATTCAGTTGACATCCCTAGCAAGACATGACATCATCCCATCACTCGCCATCCCACGTGCTTCATTCAGTTGACATCCCTAACAAGACATGACATCATCCCATCACTCACCATCACACGTGCTTCATTCTGTTGACATCCCTAACAAGACATGACATCATCCCATCACTCGTCATCTCACGTGCTTCATTCAGTTGACATCCCTAGCAAGACATGACATCATCCCATCACTCGCCATCACACGTGCTGCATTCAGTTGACATCCCTAACAAGACATGACATCATCCCATCACTCGTCATCCCACGTGCTTCATTCAGTTGAAATCCCTAGCAAGACATGACATCATCCCATCACTCGTCATCCCACGTGCTGCATTCAGTTGACATCCCTAACAAGACATGACATCATCCCATCACTCTTCATCACACGTGCTTCATTCAGTTGACATCCCTAGCAAGACATGACATCATCCCATCACTCACCATCCCACGTGCTTCATTCAGTTGACATCCCTAGCAAGACATGACATCATTCCATCACTCACCATCCCACGTGCTTCATTCAGTTGAAATCCCTAGCAAGACATGACATCATCCCATCACTCGTCATCCCACGTGCTGCATTCAGTTGACATCCCTAACAAGACATGACATCATCCCATCACTCTTCATCACACGTGCTTCATTCAGTTGACATCCCTAGCAAGACATGACATCATCCCATCACTCACCATCCCACGTGCTTCATTCAGTTGACATCCCTAGCAAGACATGACATCATCCCATCACTCACCATCCCACGTGCTTCATTCAGTTGAAATCCCTAACAAGACATGACATCATCCCATCACTCGCCATCACACGTGCTGCATTCAGTTGACATCCCTAGCAAGACATGACATCATCCCATCACTCGCCATCCCACGTGCTTCATTCAGTTGAAATCCCTAGCAAGACATGATATCATCCCATCACTCGTCATCCCACGTGCTGCATTCAGTTGACATCCCTAACAAGACATGACATCATCCCATCACTCTTCATCACACGTGCTTCATTCAGTTGACATCCCTAGCAAGACATGACATCATCCCATCACTCACCATCCCACGTGCTTCATTCAGTTGACATCCCTAGCAAGACATGACATCATCCCATCACTCACCATCCCACGTGCTTCATTCAGTTGAAATCCCTAGCAAGACATGACATCATCCCATCACTCGTCATCCCACGTGCTGCATTCAGTTGACATCCCTAACAAGACATGACATCATCCCATCACTCTTCATCACACGTGCTTCATTCAGTTGACATCCCTAGCAAGACATGACATCATCCCATCACTCACCATCCCACGTGCTTCATTCAGTTGACATCCCTAGCAAGACATGACATCATCCCATCACTCACCATCCCACGTGCTTCATTCAGTTGAAATCCCTAACAAGACATGACATCATCCCATCACTCGCCATCACACGTGCTGCATTCAGTTGACATCCCTAGCAAGACATGACATCATCCCATCACTCGCCATCACACGTGCTTCATTCAGTTGACATCCCTAGCAAGACATGACATCATCCCATCACTCGGCATCCCACGTGCTTCATTCAGTTGACATCCCTAACAAGACATGACATCATCCCATCACTCGCCATCACACGTGCTGCATTCAGTTGACATCCCTAGCAAGACATGACATCATCCCATCACTCACCATCACACGTGCCTCATTCAGTTGATATCCCTAGCAAGACATGACATCATGCCATCACTCGTCATCCCACGTCCTCCATTCAGTTGACATCCCTAACAAGACATGACATCATCCCATCACTCACCATCCCACGTGCTTCATTCAGTTGACATCCGTAGCAAGACATGACATCATCCCATCACTCACCATCCCACGTGGTGCATTCAGTTGACATCCCTAGCAAGAAATGACGTCATCCCATCATTCGCTATCACACGTGCTTCATTCAGTTGACATCCCTAGTAAGACATGACATCATCCCATCACTCACCATCCCACGTGCTTCATTCAGTTGACATCCGTAGCAAGACATGACATCATCCCATCACTCACCGTCACACGTGCTGCATTCAGTTGACATCCCTAGCAAGAAATGACATCATCCCATCACTCGCTATCATACCTGCTTCATTCAGTTGACATCCCTAGCAAGACATGACATCATCCCATCACTCGTCATCCCACGTGCTCCATTCAGTTGACATCACTAGCAAGAAATGACATCATCCCATCACTCGGCATCCCACGTCTTTCATTCAGTTGACATCCCTAGCAAGACATGACATCATCCCATCACTCGCCATCACACGTGCTTCATTCAGTTGACATCCCTAGCAAGACATGACATCATCCCATCACTCGCCATCACACGTGCTGCATTCAGTTGACATCCCTAACAAGACATGACATCATCCCATCACTCACCATCACACGTGCCTCATTCAGTTGACATCCCTAGCAAGACATGACATCATCCCATCACTCGCCATACCACGTGCTATATCCGTCCATTCAATCGGCGCACGTCAGAGACGCGACATTTTACGCGTCTCGTTCCACCGCCGACCCATGCCCCCGGCGTTTCGCAAATGAAACTCCGCCCCTTCAGCACGAGACACCCACTGACGCCAAGTTGGTCCGTGCGAGACCACTGCAAGGGGACTCGAATCCGGTTTTGGGGGGGTAGGCGCGGGGGGGGGGGCGAATGTCCAAACCCGCGACCGTCCCGACATCTCCGGCACAGCGAGTCGAGGCTCACCATGCCCCCCCACCACACCCCAACCACACCCCCACGCTCACCTTGAGACGCGACCTGCTGTAGGAATGTTGAGCATCGACCTCGAGGGGCTGCGGGAGTCAGACGTCTCCGGGTGGCGGCAGCAGCAGCAGCGGCGGCGGCAGAGGGTAGCGAGCAGGAGCAGTCGGCAGAGCCACGCAGCGCTGCGCGGGCGGTGGAGGAGGGGCATGTCTGCTTGGACGCTCCCCGCCTCTGCCGCACAGCGCGCACGGACATCGCCGGCGTCATCTCAGCTGCGTTGAGTCTTCTTACAAGTCGTCGACATATCTCTCGGCTCACGAGACCCCCCCATCTCTCCCCACCCCCCCCCCCCCCCCAAGAGCCGTGTCTAATATCTGTCATCTTCACTGAGGATTTTATTAATCGAATTTGGTGGCGGCGGTGGAGGTGGTGGTGAGCTCAATTTTCTTTTTTAAAACTATATCATTTACTTTAGCTCTTTTTTTTCTCAGAAGCGACCTGGCCACAAACGATAGCTCGGCGAAGTGGCTTATCGCGTGGAAATTGACATCGGCCAAATTACTCGTCGGGCTCTTAATGTGGAGGGGGAAAGCCGGAGGACCTGGATATAAACTCCATGCGACCGTGGGGGGGGGGAGAAAGAGAGACACGCAGACTCCAAATACACAGCAGCAGCAGGCGTCAGGGTCGGGATCGAACCCACGACCTCCTGCACACCAGGCGAGGTAGTTAACATCTCATAGCCACCGTGATGATGATGAGAGAGACACGCAAACTCCAAATATACAGCAGCAGCAGCAGGCGTCAGGGTCGGGATCGAACCCACGACCTCCTGCACACCAGGCGAGGTAGTTAACATCTCATAGCCACCGTGATGATGATGAGAGAGACACGCAAACTCCAAATATACAGCAGCAGCAGGCGTCAGGGTCGGGATCGAACCCACGACCTCCTGTATACCAGGCGAGGTAGTTAACATCTCCTAGCCACCGTGATGATGAGAGAGAGACGCGCAGACTCCAAATATACAGCAGCAGCAGGCGTCAGGGTCGGGATCGAACCCACGACCTCCTGTATACCAGGCGAGGTAGTTAACATATCCTAGCCACCGTGATAATGATGAGAGAGAGAGACACGCAAACGCCAAATATACAGCAGCAGGCATCGTCAAGGTCGGGATCGAACCCACGACCTCCTGTATACCAGGCGAGGTAGTTAACATCTCATAGCCACCGTGATGATGATGATGAGAGACGCAAACTCCAAATATACAGCAGCAGGCATCGTCAGGGTCGGGATCGAACCCACGACCTCCTGTATACCAGGCGAGGTAGTTAACATCTCATAGCCACCGTGATGATGATGATGAGAGACGCAAACTCCAATTATACAGCAGCAGGCGTCAGGGTCGGGACCGAACCCACGAACTCCTGCACACCAGGCGAGGTAGTTAACATCTCATAGCCAGCACAACACAAGGCGCTGTTAGCCAGTAGCACCTATGAAGGCCGACACGGGGGTGAGTGGCCAACACCACGCCCGGCCGCCTTTGTCTCCCTAGTGCCAATGCTTTTACATATCGCACCAGGTACTCATTTGAGGCTGAGTCGACCTAGGGGAGGCCCAGGACTGGTTCAGATAATCGTCACTGTTGGGGGCCGTGAGCGGGAATCAAACCCAGATCGCCGGGTTCATAGCGCAGCGTAGCCCTAACCGCTACACCACCGCTCCCCACACGCACAAACGCACACACAACAACCGCCATTCGCGACTAAGTTGCGGTGACGTCACCACGACGCTTGTACCAGGCTATGTGCACCTTGAGGCCACGTGAAGTGTCGAATGCCCGCCGGCAGGTCACGGGGCAGACCGAGGTGCCACGTGGTCGACTGACTGAGATGACTGAGATGACTGGCTAATGCACCACATGTGCCCCCTACTGTGCCAACCTGCTGTGCTTTAGCCACGCGGCGTTCCGCTCGTTGTTGTGAGCGTCGCTCCTCCGCCCTCCGTTGTTGTTGGAGGGCGACTGCCTCCAACTGCCCAATAGCGTCCTTCACGAGCCTCCTCCACAGAGGCCGATCTTGACATCGCTGGTACCAGTCATCGGCAAGTCCACTCAGCTCCACGTCCTCCTGTACCACGTCACTCCATCTCTTCTCCAGCCCGTGCCGCGCCCGTTTAGCCCCTTCGATCCGGCCGAACAAAAGCTGTTTGGGCATGCGGTGGCTGGGCATGCGGGCTACATGGCCCAGCAAACTCAGCCTTGCCTGCCGGAGGAGCTTACACACACATAGACACACACACATACACACTCACGTGCACACGTACATGTTTTGAATGTTATTAACCTACATAGACATTGGCATGTATCGCTGCTGCCAATGTTATATGTGGAGATAAAATAATAAATAAAATGTTACGTAATTAAAATACACAAGGGTACACGCACACACACGCAGACAAAGATCCCCCGTATAGCCTTAATAGACTGTTGGGGTAAGTGCTGTTAGCGAGCACCTATAAAGGCCGGCACGGCACGCGAGGGGATGGGTGGCCAACACCACGCCCGGCCGCCTTTGTCTCTCCAGTGGGCAGTGGCGATGTTAACACATCGCACCAGGTATTCATTTGAGGCTGAGTCGACCTAGGGGAGGCACAGGACCGGTTCAGATATTCGTCACCGGGGTTGGCCGTGAGCGGGAATCGAACCCGGGTCGCCGGGTTCGCAGTTTCAGCGCGCTAACCGCTACACTACCACACACACACAGACACACGCATAGACACACACACACAGACACACGCACAGACACACACGCACAGACACACACAGACACAACAACAACCGCCATTCACCACTAAGTGGCAGTGACGTCACCACGACGCTTGTGCCAGGCTATGTGCACCCTGAGGCCACGTGAAGTGTCGAACGCCCGCTGGCAGGAGGTCACGGGGCAGACCCAGGTGCCACGGGTCGACTGACTGAGATGACTGGCTGATGCACCACCTGTGCCCCCTACTGTGCCAACCTGCTGTGCTTCAGCCACCCGGCGATCCGCTCGTTGTTGTGAGCGTCGCTCCTCCGCGCTCCGTTGTTGTTGAAGGGCGACTACCTCCAACTGCCCAGTAGCGTCCTTCACGAGCCTCCTCCACAGAGGCCGATCTTGACACCGCTGGTACCAGTCATCGGCAAGTCCACTCAGCTCCACGTCCTCCTGTACCACATCACTCCATCTCTTCTCTAGCCCGTGCCGCGCCCGTTTAGCCCCCTAAATCCGGGTGAACAAAAGCTGTTTCGGCATGTCGTGGCTGGGCATGCGGGCTACATGACCCAGCCATCGCAGCCTTGCCCGCCGGAGGAGCTCATCGATGGGACCTTGCCCAGATCTTTCAAGGATTTGTGAGCTCCTCACACAATCCAGTCTGGTTAAACCCAGGATGGATCGTAGGCAGGCCAGCCTAAATGTTTCTAACCGGCGAAGATGTTCCATTAGGGGGGTCCACGTTTCGCAAGCGTAGAGAAGGGAGGGAATGACCGTGGCTGAGAAGACTTGAAGCTTAGTGCGGAGCGACAGACCAGGTAGCTTCCACACAGCGTTACGCAACCGATGAAAAGATATTGCCGCTCGACTGATTCGGAGTGAGACCTCTGCTCTTAAACTGGAGCCGGTCATAAGCACACTGCCCAGGTATGGGAAACTCTCCACTCTCTACACAACTGCCCCATCACCGATTGGGAGTTGTGGAAGTGGAGTGTCCGATGGTACAAAATACCCAGGCAGGTGCTTAGTTTTGGTGGGGCTAATGGTAAGGCCCCACCTCTTAGTGGCACACTCCAGTCTCAGCAGCAGCGTCTCCAACTCCTCCTCTGAATGAGCAGCTATTACCAAATCATCAGCATACATAACGTGGTTGAGCAATAGGGAGCCATCCCTTGACCGCACCCGGGCATCGATCAGCCTCCCATTATATCTGCACCATATGGAGATTCCCCCGGTACAGCTATTGAAGGCTTCATGAACTATGTGGTCAAAATAAATGTTAAATAATGTGGGAGCCAGAGGACATACCTGTCGCACCCCAAGGTGTACAGGGAATGGCTCTGACTCCCGGCCACGTAGTTTTACCCGGGCCCGCTCACCATCATGAAGGTCCTTAATGATCGTGAGCAGAGGGTCAGGTACTCCAAAAGCACGAAGAACAACCCAGAGCCCAGGCCTACTGATGGTATCATAGGCCTTGACCAGGTCAATAAAGCAGAGATGTATGTCTTGTTGGAATTTCCTACCCCTCTGCTGTAGCAGACGGACAGAAAATATGGCATCTGTGCAGGACCGCCCTTTCCTGAAACCGCATTGGGGCTCCGCAAGCCTCTCCTCAGCGTGCCTGGCAAGGCGATGTTGAATAATCCTTGCCAGGACCTTTCCCGGCACACTGAGGAGTGAGATGCCCCTGTAGTTGTTACAGTCTGTGCGGTCCCCCTTCTTAAAAAGGGGGACCACCAGGGCATCCTTCCAATCCTGCGGAACCCGTCCAGTGGTCCAGACTGTTGTTATGATGTCATATAGGGCAGTCTGTGCACAATCGCCACCCTCCCTCAGCATTTCGCTTGGGAGATCATCTCTGCCCGCTGCCTTTCCTGGTCTCAGACTCCGGATCGCCCTCAGTACTTCCTCAACAGATGGCAGCTCAGCCAGCCACTCACAGGGGGTGACTTCTTCCAATATTTGAGGCACCGCAGCCTCAGCAGGGTCAGACACACACGCACAGACACACATATAGCCTTAACAGACTGTAGGGGCAAGGGCTGTTAGCGAGCACCTATGAAGGCCGGAACGGTACACGAGGGGGTGGGTGGCCAGCACCACGCCCGACCGCCTTTGTCTTCCTATTGGCAATGTTTGCACACCGCACCAGGTACTCATTTGAGGCTGAGTCGACCTAGGGGAGGCCCGGGACCGGTTCAGATAATCGTCACTGGTGTTGGCCGTGAGCGGGAATCGAACCCGGGTCGCCAGGTTCATAGCGCAGCGCGCTAACCGCTACACTATCGCTCCCCACAACAGACACACACACAGACACACACACACAGACACACACAGACACACGCGCACAGACACACACACAGACACAGACACACACGCACAGACACACGCACGCACAGACACGCACGCACACACAGACACACACACAGACACACATATTCTAAGTGGCACAAGTTTGCTCGAAGT